TAAAATACATCAAGAAAATCCTGGACAAGGGATTTTGCTAAGTGCGAAGAGTGAGTGCAGGTTAATTGCTTACTGTGACTCTGACTGGGCTGCCTGTCCTATGACTAGAAGGTCTGTAACAGGTTTCTGTATTAAGCTTGGAATGTCTCTAATCTCTTGGAAGTCTAAGAAGCAGAACACGGTTGCGCGTTCTTCTGCAGAAGCAGAATATAGAAGCATGGCAGGAACCGCGGCAGAAATTATATGGTTGAAGGGTTTGTTAGCAGAGTTAGGCTTGAAAAACTTAGCACCAGCACAATTAATGTGTGATAATAAAGCAGCTTTGCAAATAGCAGCTAATCCAGTTTTTCATGAGAGAACCAAACACATTGAGATAGACTGTCATTTTGTCAGAGAGAAGATTCAAGAAGGCTTGATACAAACTAAACATGTCAAGACAGGGGAGCAACAAGCAGATTTGATGACAAAAGCCTTGGGTGTGCATCAACATGAATATCTAGTTTCCAAGTTGGGGTTTAAAGACATCTTTGCAACCACCAACTTGAGGGGGAGTGTAGAAAGTATTAACTGTTGCAATACAGTTATGTAATCTGTTAGTTTGTTGAGTTTGTTAGATTTCTGTTACTGAGTTAGTTATAGGAAGCTATTGTGTATATAAGGACCAATTTGCTGTAATTGAAAATAAGAGGAATAAAATGATATACTGCCCAAATGTTCATTGTTAACATCATCAAACTTACTAACATCAAATTCTAAATGATAATCATACTGTATATTCTCCTCAAACTATACTGCTCCTAACCCATTATATTCATTATGAAGCTTTGACCAAGCTAAATAATCTAGAAAAGGAATAATTTGGTTGCCAAGATCTGAGGCCTGATAATCATACTGTATATTCTCGTCAAACTATACTGCTCCTAACCCAATATTCATTATGAAGCTTTGACCAACCTAAATAATCTAGAAAAAGAATAATTTGATTCCCCAGTTCTGAGGCCAGTATAAACCTTCAGCAGTGGATTCTTGGCAGGAAGAAAGCAATAAAGCTGACAATGGAGTTCGAATAAACCTCGGATCCATTACAGATGACCATTACTGATGCCTCTGAACCCCACACTTCAGCATTGAACTCTTAAAAAACAAAGCAAGCCTAATCTATATATTAGAGAGAGAGAGAGAAAAAACTAATTAAGAAAATTATCCTCTAAAAGAAAATAAGTAAAATTAATTAAGAGGTAATAGGGCTGAGGACCGTCTCCTCTTTCCCCCTTAAAGGAACAAAAGCTACTAACTGAATGGCGGATAATACAGAATTTCGGGTTAACAGGACAATCAAAGATAATTGAGGTATTTAAAACATATTAGCCTAACCAAACCTAACTCATAATGCAAGATCTTGAAGTCATGATCCCTTAAAGGCCCACTCTAACAGAATGTCACCTTAAACAGAAGAAAACAAGACATGATATAGGATAAGGTAATGAGAATGTTCGTACTGGACGTAAAGGAAGTCCCAATGGGCTGAGGATGCAATTTGTTTGTGGCACAATCCTGTCTCTAGGATGATGATACCTACAAGATGATCCAAATTTACAGTCGCCTGTCCTCAAATAGTATTGACATTCAGGTTCACCAGGTCTCTCTGGAAATGTATTTTCCTTCTGGTTACTGCTTTAAAGCCAGTAGAAGAGGGCAATGAGGGATAAGGACCTGCAAGCAAAGGTGATGAAGAAGATACTTGCGTTAGTCCATACACAGAAGTGGCTCCAACGGCAGGTTGTGCACCAGGAGAGAGAGCTGGGCTTACAGGCGCCTGCACCAAGTAAGCCGAAAACAGATTCAGGAATCTCATATAGCCTTGACATTATCTTTAAATGCAACTGTGCTGATCATCTTACTGAGTAGTGCCTTAACATTTAAACCCGGAACAGGGGATATCAATCATATCTTCTAAATTATAGTATCCAGATTCTATTTTGAGGGAAACAATGTATTAAAAAAGGTGATTGCATCAAATCCCCTGCGTACTAAAAGCAATATATATTTACATAAATCCTTTGAATGGAATTATCAGAAAAAGATAATCACTAATGATGATTGTTATACCCATATAAGGGGTTTATTTCAATGCTGTTTCAGTTATACACTGCTATTATCAAAATGTACCTTGATAAGTTCTGTGTTCCAACCGCATTTTTCACTTTCACGGTTCTAAAATATTATTTTGGCAGCGAACCTCTCAATCTAGTTTTTTCTATTCACGACGTGAAGATTCAAACTCATGACCTACTTGTCGTCTACTCCGGCTAGACCGACTGGTAGTTGGAACCCATTTTAAAATATTAAGTTCACTTAGTTACAGCAACAGTAAATTTCAGCACATTAATCAATAACATTTCAATGCTGAACCAAACATTGCATGCAAAACTAAATAAAGTAATGGGGAAAAAGCTCCATATATAATCAAAATTATTAAAAATTATTATGACATGTTAAAATTAATAAACAATATTTCATTTTTCATTGTTAAGCATGTCATTGTCAATCATTAGCATTTTTAGAGGGAAAAGTTGTTGGACGTCTAAGGAAATACAACCTAATATAAAGCTAAGAAAATGTACTACAGAAAATATTAATATTTTTTTAACATTTTATGTGGAGCGCTTCCTAAAATTTTATTTTTCTACCGGAAATGTTAATATCGAAAATATTCATTTTAGGTAGCGAAATTAACATTTCCGGTAAAAAAATAACATTTTAGGTAACGTTCTACCGGAAATATTAAAAATATTAATATTTACGGTAGCGTCTTTTTTTAACCTTATATTATGCTACCGTACAACAAAACTATCTGGACTTGGACACTCAATAGATCAAATATATTGATAGAATAAAATTTCGAATATTATAACATACATTTTCAAGGTGAAAGTATCACATTAAAATATTTGATAAAGAAGAGGGGTCAAATCATCCCATTAAAAAACAACAAAGAATTCAAAGTAGAGGTACTTTATTAGAAAATTTGATAAAAAGCAAGTACCAAATCTGTCGTTATCCCACTGAAAAACAACGAACGGAACGACCGAAAATGTGCATGTTGAGAGTGGGATTTGAACCCACGCCCTTTCGTACCAGAACCTTAATCTGGCGCCTTAGACCAACTCGGCCATCTCAACTGCTTTGATTGGAATTTTAACTTTTTTATTAATATAAAATAGTATTCAAAACAACTGTACTCATCACCTAGGGACTGGTTTTGGAGAAGTTCTACGTTAATTTAAAATTAAACAACGATAGAAAATATAAACAATTGAAAATGTTATAAAAATATAATATTTTTTTTGTTGAACGTAACCTAAAATATTAATTTTTTAACATGTTAAAAACATAATATTTTAGGTTGTCAACCAAAGATGTTATGAAAAAGGTGTGCAACTGAAAAAATTTTAAGAAAAAAAAGTTAACATTTTATGTTTCATCCAACGGAAAATGTAATGCTTTTTATAACATTTTCGGTTCCGTCTTTTTTCTATAGTTCCTTAACCTTAAATTAAATTGTTATCCCTTATACATTGTTAGTATTTGAACCAACCACGTTATAAACAAGTTGGTAATCAAATCAAGTAGGTTATTTAGTTTCTTTTCAGAAAATAATGAATATTATAAAAGTATAGAGTTTATAGTAACAACAAGTGATAAACAAAAGGAATGGGAAATAATATAAGAAAATATTAATTTTCAATTATTTATATCTTATGAATTTTACAGTCATTATTTATAGTTGTACATTCATAGACAACGTACAAGTTTTAAATGGGATGAATACAAATAAAATTTTAGGGTGGACAACGTCCTTAAAATAAGTAACTAATCGAAGAAAACTCAGATTTCAGGGTGGACATGAAAAATTTCAAGGTAGACATTATCAGTAAAATAAGTAAATAATCGAAAAAGAACTCGAATTTCAGGTAGGCACATGCCCACTCTGACTAAACGAGGCTCCGTCATCGGGTTCATCAAAATAGAAAATTTAGAAAGAATTCTTTTTTTAATAAATTGCCAATCATCCGAATTCCTTTTACTTTTAAAAGTATTTTTCATAAAGAAAAAAAAAACAGTCACTTAAGATTACAAGGTCTATATAAGGAAAATGTTAAAAAATATAATTAAATAAACTCGGATAAAAGATAGATACAAATAGATTTGATCGTATCAACAAACGAACTACAAAAGGGGATGAAGTTGTTGAAAGACCGTCAGTAAAACACAAATCAGAATTGAGTGACATGAACGTAAATCGCGTATTCAAATTCAATCCAAAGGTCCAAAGTAGGAAAGATCAACATGATAACAAATAAAGCGTCATCTTGATTAGTCGTGATGATGTTAAATCTAACTCTAAAAAAAGAATAAACGAAAAAAACGATATACTGATTGAAATATATTTTTACGTACATTTATTTTAAAAATATATATTTTTAATTTTTTTTTTGGAATAATTCAATAAACGAAGGTGAAACATGATTGTGGATTGAGAGAAAGGTGAATGATGACTGTTAGTTGAGTTTCACAAATAGAGGCAGTAGATTGTAATTCTCAAGTTGTTACCCATTTGTATAATTTTAATATTTTAAAATATAATTTTTCGTGTCTACCTTGAAATTTGATTTTCTTCGATTAGTTACTTATTTTACGGACGGTGTCCACCATGAAATTTTATTTGTACTCATCCCATTTGAACGTTTTATATTGTTAACATATGTATGCCCACCTTAAAAAATATTTATTGATCTGCCACTACTGGTGACCATAAAATTCTAATATGTAACGTTTAGTGATTAAATTGAAAATTTATAAATATAATGAGCAAAATAAGAGAGAAAATAAGGATCAGTTACTATACATGTAATTTAACCCTTTTTAAAAAAATTGCGACCGTCATTACTCTTGTTGGTATTTTCGATTTCTTTTTTCATATTTAATTTAGGGTTTTAAGCCGATTGATTATATTTCTTTTCCCTCTTTTCGCTACCACTACCAGGCCCCCTTTCCCCCCGAAAAACTGTAAGTAGTGTATATTCTCTGATCGTGCTTAGGGTTTAGACGTAAAGCGTGATTGTTCAATTTCAATGTTTTATAAATCTCCTTTCTTTATCATACCCTCTTTGACATGGTCATTGATTTTTTCTTTCTTTCTGTTTCCCCTTTTTCTTCCTGCAGGTATCTTATTCTTCATTAGGTTTCTGCTTCATTCAAAGAAAAAACGGAAAAAGATGGTATGTTAATCTATTTAGCTTACCTTGTTTGTCTATTTGGTTGCTTATACCCTATGAAATTTGAGAAATCCAAAGCAAGAAAAGAGAACTTGTCATATGCCATCTAAGGATTTTTGGGTTAATTTTTGTTTTTTAACATGTTTTTGAATAATTCATCTTCTTTGCTGGCTAATCGGTTTTATCTATATGTAAATCGTGGGCAGCTTCCTCTTTCCCTACTGAAAACTGCACAGGGTCATCCCATGGTAAGATCGTTCACACTTTCTTGTTTCCTGTTCTTTACCGTTTTGAAAATTGCGTTTTCTTAAGAAATTGATTGTTTTGAAACAATTGTGTGTTTGATTTGTCTTTGCTTTTTATATTGTTTGCTCATAGCTGGTGGAACTGAAAAATGGGGAGACGTACAATGGACATTTGGTCAATTGCGACACTTGGATGAACATCCATCTTCGTGAAGTTATCTGCACTTCAAAGGTATAAATATGGATTCATTCAATGTTTCTTGTCTGATTGATTTTATTTCTTCCTAGGAATGATAGTAAGGGTATTGTTGTTAATTATGGTCGGGGTTTGATTGAAAATATAATGTAGGATGGAGACAGGTTTTGGCGAATGCCCGAATGCTATATCCGTGGAAATACAATAAAGTATCTTCGAGTTCCTGATGAGGTACCTTTTTGACTTATATGCTGTTGTTTCGTTTGCTTAACTTTTCAAAGATAAGAGTATTTATTGTCTTTGGTTTCATTCACTGTGTTGGATTTTATAAATGGTTGATTCTTAGTTGCTTTCATGAAAGGATAGAGTGGAATTTTTTCTTTTTCTTTCATTGTTGTTGGTGAAATAGCTTTCTTTTATCCATGGCTTGTGTAAATTGTTGTTTTGTTTTGTTGTAGCTTTCTTCGTGTACCAATCGTATTAACTTTACCATTTCGATTTCAGGTAATTGATAAAGTTCAGGAAGAATCGAAGAGTCGTGCAGGTATGATTTATTTCTCTTGCTAGCTATGAGATCTGATCTATCATTATCTTAGTATTCGATTTTAAGTAGAAACATTTGGGTTATAGATAGTACTTCTACATATGAAAACCAGAATCTTTAACTTGGCCTTTTGACTTTGCTGACTTTTCCAGATAGGAAGCCTCCTGGTGTAGGCCGTGGCAGAGGCAGAGGAGGTCGAGAAGATGGTCCTGGTGGAAGGCAACCGAAAGGACCTGGGCGTGGGCTAGATGACGGTGCTAAGAGTGCTGGTGGAGGCCGAGGCAGGGGTGGTCGAGGTAAATTTGCTGAAACACGGTTTTGTAGCTCCGTGGATGATTGAATAATCTATTATGACCGGATTAACATTTGATAAATTCAGGCTAACGGTCTGCCTTTTTCTTGTTGCGACAGGTAGTGGCCGAGGTCGAGGTTGATTCGATGCTTGCAACATGCTATTCCTAGAAACAGGTTGCATTCAAATGAAGTGGTTGCCTTAAGTGCCAAATATTTCAGTTAATGAACTTTGTATGTATTTTGGTTTGTCTATTAACTTGATGCTCTTTCTTTGATAGAAGTAATAGCTTGCAAAGACAAATTGTTGTTAAATTTATGGGTTGAAAAGATTTTCGAACACATTTTCTCATTAACTATTTGTTTAAGATTACTTGTAGCTTTACAAGTTTTTTGACACACACACACGATAATATACGAACATGAACAAAATACATCAACTGAAACAATCCACACAGGATGATATCGAAATATCTTATCTCTAATTTATCACCATCAATCTTCCGATTATGTAAATATTAGCTCAATCAGTTCATAAATAGTTTTGACTCAAGTCGGTTCCAGTCATTTTTACAGGTCAAGTCAATTTTTTACATAAATTTCAGGAATGACACAATTTCATAGGCCCTAAACAGAAAGACATCTCATGACTTTATTATAATTGTAGTAGGAGTAACATGATGCATGTCACATTATTATCTATTTATTGGCAGCCAGAGTTTTATTAGCAAGCAATAGGGCTCTCAAGTTGCCACAATAGATGCAATGATGTTTATCTCAGAAGAAACAACCTCATAAAGTATTTCGACTTTGTAACCATCGTTGGCGATTTCATATTTCGATTTTCCATTTGTATCGAGCTCGGCTTTGATAGCAGCCCAATCGACAGGAGCATTGGGGATATTTCAACGGTTTAATGTTAACAGATTTAATTACATGTTAAGATGAAATTAATATGGCAATACCTTGCCGGCCGTGATGCTCCAAGCAAGAACCCATTCTTTGCCATCACCAAGTATTTCGTATGCAAGACCAGAGCCTGAACCATTGAGCTTAAAGAAACCAGAACCTTCATTCACAATAACTTTCGGGATATCCGTAGGCTGAGGTCCGGGCCAAACAATGCTGCTAACAAGGGTTAAATCATGGCCGGAAGAGTTCTTAATATTGACCAATTGCTTACTAGGTTCAGCCATGGTTATGGTAGCTTTGTGTCTTGCTCTTAATGCATCAATGAAATGTCTAATATTAAAGACTAATTTTCTTCTTAAAATGTAATAAAAGGAAACAAGAAAGAAATAAGATCAAAACAATTAATACTTCTTTTAAGATGAAGTACAAATGTAACATTGCATTTCTCTTATCGAGGATAATATGATATTGTCTTAATTTCTACAGTGATAAAATCGGTTGTAACATCAAATATTGATTTTTATCAAAGTTTTAATGAGTCCTCTTTAATTTCGTAAGCAATAATAGTTTTTTTTACATAAATAAATCGTCATCTTGATCAGTTGTGGTGATGTCAAATCCAACTCTGAAAAAAATAATAAACGAAAATAACGGTCAACTGATCGAAATATATTTTTACATACATTTATTTTTAAAAATATATATTTTTAATTTTTTTTTGAATAATTCAATAAAAGAAGGTGAAACATGATTGTTGATTGAGAGGAAGGTCAATGATGACTGTTAATTGAGTTTCAGAAATAGAGGTAGTAGATTGTCATTCTCAAGTTTCTACCCATTTGTATAAATAAGTTTCAACTTTTTGAAATTTGTTTAGACAGTTTCTTTTACAAAATCAAGCAACTTTTCTCCATTTGGGATTATCCCATATGGGGAGTTCCTAGAAAAACAGGAAATATAATAAAAGAAATATTAATTTTGATATATTTTCCCCTTTATTTATCTATTATTTAAAAAAAATGTTGGGGGTGAAAGATAATGGTCAATTTTATAAAAAAAATTAATGGATGAATAAAGATAAAGTTCCATTATAAACCAGGGTTAGTTCAAGCGGTAAGCAGTTTGATATCGTTTAAGTAGGGTCTCGAGTTCGAATAATTGTGTGTGCAAAAAGTTTATGGTGAGAGACTCACCCACCAAAATCAAGTGCGACACGGGTTGATCCAGATTAATCAAGATAAAGCCTTAATACTAGGAGAAAAAAAAGAAAGAAAGATAAAATTTCATTGGTACACAAATAATTACATATTTATCTCATATAAAAATAAATAAATTTATTTATTCAATTCTTTAAAAATGTATAATCAAACTTTATTGTCTGGTTTTAATAGTTAGGAACAGTTAGCATTTAGCTTTAACATCAAGAAATGCAAATAAAGTTTTATTCCACTAATTTCACTTAACCTATTGCTAAACGCAATGCATTATCTAACCATAAGTTAAAAGAAAAATAGAAACTTGCAGAAAATAGTTAATTTCCCAACAACGTGTATTTCCAAAACAATATAAAATAATATTTTATTTTGAATCATAAGATTAAAAATTGTGAATATCCATTACAATAATGTCGTCTTTAAGATTTACATTTATATATGATTTTCCTCTATATATATAGCTGGTGGTCCTTTCATGCATGCAGGGAAACGAAATCAAGTGGCAATCTGCTTAGAAATGGCTACTCCTTTGCTGTACTCTGCTATTATTCTCTTCCTACTTCCCTTACAACTCATCACCGCCGTCCCTTCGTGTCCTCGAGATTGTGAACCCGCCGACGCCACCGACAGGGACCGGGTTCACTTCGCCATGAACTTGGAGTTCTTGGAAACTGAGTGGTTCCTGTGTGGTGCACACGGAATAGGTCTCGACGCCATCGAACCGGAATACGCAGAAGGCGGACCGCCTCCGATCGGTTGCAAGAAGGCCAATCTCGACCGTGTCACTCGTCGAGTCGTCGAGGAGTTCGGTTATCAAGAAGTTGGCCATCTAAGGTAAGCTTTTAGACATACGAGTGTTATTATTTCAGGCAATGACGTGTTGTTGTTTACCTTTGAAGGGCCATTAAAACAACAGTCGGTGGAATCCAAAGGCCTCTAATAGATATAAGCTCCGAAAATTTCGCCAAAATATTTGACGAGGCCATGGGGTATTGTTTGGATCCTCCATTCGATCCCTATGAAGATAGCATCAAATATCTAATGGGAACATATGTTATCCCCTATGTCGGACTCAACGGATACGTCGGTACGATCCCGTGCCTTCAAAAATTCGAGACGAAAAAGGTAAATCCGATACTAAATCACATCCCACATCGGTCAGATCTTGAATTCGTTACTTTTTTTCTTCTTCTAATAGTTGGTGGCCGGATTGATGGGGGTGGAGTCCGGACAAGACGCAACCGTTCGAGCGTGGTTGTATAAGAAAGCGAATGAAAATGTGGAGCCTTACAACATAACGGTGGCTGAATTCACAATGAGGATCTCGGAGCTAAGGAACAAGCTAGGCCATTGCGGTATCAAAGATGAAGGCATAATAGTACCTCCAGAGCTCGGAGCGGAGAACCGGACCTCCAGCAACGTCCTGTCGGCCGACTACAACTCACTCTCATACCCGAGAACACCGGCGGAGATAGCAAGGATCACGTATGGCACCGGCGACGAGCATAGGCCTGGAGGGTTCTTTCCCGAGGGTGCCAATGGGAGAATTGCGAGAGAATACCTCTATAATGATAAGCTTAAAGTGCTTTGAGTAATATTAATTGGGAAGCTCTAAGACAAGTAGTAGTAGTAATTATTTGATCTGAATAATGTCGTAGAGTCTCCGGAGGAGGCTTAATGTATTGCTCCAGTCAAGGGTGGTTTGCATTTTATCTTAAAATCTATTGCTTGCATGCATGATTTGTTCTTTCTTATATAAATAAAATAAATTTCATATAATGATATGAAATTATAGATGATATACTACATCATTTGTATTTAAGGACGAACACAATCTTTTATACAGGAAATACGAATATAAAAAATTATATTAAAAATTTGAAGATGCGAAATTACAAAAAAAAAATTAGTGTGGAATTAGATCATAAATAAAATATATAAAAGAAATACCTATAATATAAAATTTAAAATTTTCATATAGGATCCCACCTTCAACACCGCTAAGTCCGTCTTTATTTATATCATAATATTATATAATTTTAATATTTTAAAATATAAATTTCTCTTTATTAAAAATGTCGTACTTATTTTATGCGTGTATTGTCGATTTAGTTCTTGTATTATAATTTAATCCTTATATTTTTTTTTCAATTTTAATCTTGATCCAAACAACAATTTTTATATTTATGAAGTCAATTTTTGTATTAGTCTTTATATAATATATAAATTGTAGATTTAGACACGAACCAAGCGATCTCAATGGTAAAAAAATTAGTGTTATTCCTTGAGATTTCGAGTGGGAGCACTTGGAATGTTAGGGGTGTGAGCATTTAATGAAAAAAAGGTTGAAAGTTATATTTGAACAGATATTGCCTTGCACTTACCCAAGTTAATAAAAAATTGTAGATTTAGTTACTGTTGTTCGATTTAATCATTTGAAATCTTATAATTTATTCATACTGTTCCTGTATAAATTGAATCTGAAATTTCAAAATTTAAAAAAAATAAAATTGATCAACTAGAGTAAAAAATATATATACCTATTTTTAGTATAGGGACTAGTAAGAGAATTTGACCATAAACGGTTCATATAGATCCAAGGAAGATTGGTAGCTGAAAAACAAACCAAGACTGTGTTATTATATTATATAAATTATCTCTTTGGAGGTACATTATTTTATATTGTTACTTGTTCATTATGTGTACGTGTTATGTGATGTATTGACATTAAATCTTTTAGACTTGTTTGTTAGATTGGTGGGTTAGGTGAAGCTTTCTCATTATTATTATTATTATTATTATTATTATTAGTCGAGTGATTAGGACAGGCAAAGTAGTTAAGGTCGTTGCTGGGCGGAAGTAGGTTTTGTGAAACCACTCGGAGAATATTAGATTTCTTTCCTTTGTGTGCTTGGACATTAAATCATCATTTTTTTTTCTCTCTCTCTCTCTCTCTCTCTCTTTCCATTTTTACAATAATACCAAAGGGAGATTTGTCCAAAGATTTTACATTTTCCACTTCTTTTTGTTGTGAGTGACGTATAAGAAAAAGAAAATTTTTCTTACGTGGCGCTGAAAGAAATCATTGGCTCGTACAAGGTTTCGTGGAAATTATTTATGAAGATGAAGTGAATGTAAAAGTACTCGTCGAAAGATGCTGGAAACACTATGTGTCTTTGAGAAGATACGCCGTTGATTACAGTGCGTCTCCTGCCTTTTTATTTTGGAAGTCTTGATGTTCCAACTGAGTGAATGATAAGAAAGATGTATTGTGTTTTTTACGTCTTTTCTGACACTTTAATTTCACCTCATCTAAAAAAATAATTCAGAAAATACATTCTACAACCTTATCTCGATAAATTTATAACATTCACTTTTTCCCTGTTACCAAACCTATGCAAGAACACCGCGTTATTCAGTCGGAAAGAGCATATTTCAAAGTCGATACTAAAAATTGGAAAATATCGACTAAGTACTATATATTAGTACCGAGAAGTCCATTCCTGTAATAGGGGAAAAACACTTTACAAAATTCTTAACATAGTACAAAAAAGAGATTAATGTGCTTGAATTAAATGGAATATAAAGTTCAAAATGAAAAAAATGCAGAAAGTTAAAGTTGCTTGAATTTAAAGGATTGAAATGTAAATGTTGAAATTTAAAGGTGAAAAATAAAAATATAGAAAAGTAAAGGGGTATAAATATAAATAACAGAAACTAAAGATTGAATAAAAGATAAAAGGTTAGTGGTTATTTTTTAATTTTTTTTCGAACCGTAATAACGCGACTTGTAGCTCGAGAAGGATCATCGCGAGGTCGTAAATTAATTTGGAATGTTTTTTAAGGGTTAGAAATTAGAAATTCGAAAATAAAATTACTTGGACATAATAATTCGAATCATACTCCAAGATGAGTCATCATAAGGTCATGAAATTAATTCGAATGCATAAATTAAAACTTAGTAATTAATGAGTTAAAACTTTACACGTCCCTTAATAATGCGAGTTGTACTTCGGGACTTGTCACCGTAAGACCTATTCAAATGATTAATATATGACCACTTTCATTTTTATTTAATTATGATATAATTACTTTCATTTTTATTTAATCAAGACGTAGTCATCACGAGTTAACTGTTGTTAACAGTTAACATATTATGTGACATTGTATTATTTTTATATAATCACACATTTGGTCTTTATTATTTACATATTCTCCTAATTTAGTCGTACTTTTAATAAATTAAAATTAATTTAATCTTCTAATCGAATGATATCATGTGTCATTTATTAAATATATTTTATTCCTATCTTAACTTCAAAATATTTTAATATAAAATATACATTTTTAAATGAAAAATAAATCATTTAAATTAAGTTAATAATAAAATATATTTAATAAGTTAATATAAAAAGATATATTTTTTAAAGTTAACGTATATAAAATATTATGAAAATGACATGTGTCATCATTCGATTAAATGATTAAATTTATTTTAATTTATTAAAAGTAAAACTAAATTAAGAGATTATAAAAATAATAGGGACTAAATGTGTGATTATACTAAAATATTTAACATTGATAGACTCGTGATTGCCATGTCTTAATTAAATAAAAGCAAAAATGACCGTATATTATGTTTTTATGAAATTTTTAAGGATAAATGAACAAAACACAAACATAAATCATCAATCACAATCTTCTAAGAGAAAAACACATTACAAAAACAGAGCAACACCAGAAAACCAAGCCAAGGAGAGAGCAAGACAGCTTTCCCTACAGCCACAGGGGTAGACCAAGCCATTGATCAACCAGATACAAGGCTTCATCCCACTAGCTACAGAGCTGCACGAAACAGAAGGAACCTACAGCGAACTACAACGTCCAAGCCAAGAGAAAAACACAGTACAAAAACAGAGCAACACCAGAAAAACTCGTGAATTAATATCTGACGCTGTACAGTTTTATCAATGAATTTAAAATTGTATGCTAGGTTCAACCATGGTTATGGTAGCTTCTTGTCTCTTTGTTTTGATTGTGCTTTTAATGTATCAACGCATGCCTTTTTATATACTACATTGTTCCATGTTACTAGAAATGACCATCCAACTCAGTTGGTAGAGCACAAGGTTCTTAACCTTAGGGTTGTGGGATCGAGTCCCACGAAAGACATTTCATAATTCAGAGGTCTCTTACAGAAATTACTTTCAACCTGGTGTTGGGGGCCCTTATCCCATTACATATGGGAATAAGGGGTCAGCTGATTTTTTTTCCATGTTACTAACATTAAACTTGTATACTAAAAGAATTTTTTTAAAATCATCCCTAACGTAATTTTACGTTTCATCTTTATTTTTTGCTTACAACTAACAAGCCTTCAATTATTTGATTATGAGAAAAAATACTTAATTAGATATAATTAAAAATATAAAAGCTTATTCAAGACAATTGTTAAATGTAAGGTCCAATTTGGAAATTTAACCAAAAAAGAACAAGAACGAAATATCTAAAAGGGAAGGGTATATCTGTGTGGCTTCAATCTCGCTCTTGATTATCTCTTGTATTTACATCCTAGCTTCAAATCCATCGCTTTACTCCAGTTTCCATCTCGAATTTGAAATTTGAGTGATTAAATCCTCGAACTTTCTCTCTCTCTCTTTTTTTTCCATCTTTGATTTGTTTTTTTAATGATTGACAATCGAGTTACTGGTCTAATGCTTAGTTCGATTCAATGAGATTACTCTGCTGTTGTATACATGGCCTCTGCTTCTTCTTTATCCGGTACGTTTCACTTTCATTTCCTCTTTCAATTTCATGTTTCTGTTTGTCTAATTTTATCCGATGAACTTTGTTTCTATTAGGAATGTTGGAGAATCAACGAAATTTTAGCTCTCGACTGTTTAAATTTGTTTGAATTTCGACTGTTCATTTCTTCGTTAAATTTCGAATTTGTTTAAGTTCTATGCTACCGAAGCTGTATGACGAAATTTAAGTCTATATTATTGTTAACGCCGAATTTATTTTTTGTTTGGATTGATTTTAGTTTCTGTGGAATGTGTGAATATATGTAAGTTAACGAAAGGGGAAGGAAGTGGAAGGTATGACTGTAGCGTTCTTTCCTGTGCTTGGAAAGCTCCAAGAGTCTTAACTGGATTCCTTGCAAGCACTGCTAATCCTTCTCATTCTTCCTCCTTTGTCTGCGCTCGCCATGGGAGAAGAAATCGGATCAAACCAGTGAGTTTATTTCAATTTTTCCTCTTAGTGTTTGATGGATTCTTTGAACTTCAAAGTTCATTTTAAGATATATCTTGCATTGGTGATTGTATTAAATTCATTTTATTGTATTTAATGCATCATGCATGTTTTAGTTGATTTGATTAAACTATGATTAATGTTTTGGTTTTGCTAATATGGCTTTGATTTTTGTAATCTGCCTTCCAATCGATTGGAAACTGGTTTATGGGATGGGTGGTTAAAGTTAGGTTGACAAATATGAAAATTTTTGCTGAGTTCAGATTGGACTCTGTTAGATTAAGGTGTAATATTAATGGGAAAAAATGGATTCCTGTAATTGAATTCTGGTGCCATATGTATGACTTTTATACGAAGGAATGCAAAGTTGCTAATTTTGGGCTGGTTGTATCTTATATTTTTGCCAGGCTCCTGATATAGGAGGGTGCTATTCAACGGATGTTTCTGAATTCATACTGCTTGGGGGACTCTTTAGATCAAGCTTTCTTCATGTTGGTTGTAAAAGATGGCAATTGTGTAATTCATCATCTTTCTCTTCAGATACCTCTAATGATGTTTCTCCTGAGAGTTTGTGGGAGGTAAAATGGACTGTCTACCTCCTGTCTATAAACAAAATCGATTATTGTGTAAGCCAGGTTGTTACTATGATGCGTTCAAATTTAATACTGGTTATTTTTGTGATCGAAATAGGATTTGAAGCCTTCTATAACGTACCTTTCACCTAATGAGCTGGAGTTGGTCCATAATGCTCTCAAGGTAAGGCCTTCAGTGCAAAAGTTTTTACCATTAACTTTCTGAAAATATCTCTTTGACGTTGTTATATTTATAAGTTAGTTTTCGTTTGATACAGCTAGCTTTTGAGGCACATGATGGTCAAAAGAGACGGAGTGGAGAACCATTCATCATTCATCCAGTTGAAGTTGCACGTATTATCGGAGAACTTGTGAGTTTATAGAAGTATGCTCCCATTGAAAAATGTAGTCTGTGTAGGGATCTGAAGTATAACTTACCTTAACTATTGTTCTAGGAATTGGATTGGGAGTCGATTGCAGCCGGATTGCTTCATGATACTGTAGAAGATACAAATGTTGTTACATTCCAAAGAATAGAGGAGGAGTTTGGCCTTACTGTACGTCGCATTGTAGAAGGAGAGACTAAGGTACTTTGTTTAAATAAAAGTCAAATTTGTCTAGTTTAATGCCATGTCAGACAACCCTAGATAGTTTTGGCTCAATTCGTCCTCTTTTTATCTTTTTTTCCTAATCAGGTATCAAAATTAGGAAAGTTGAAGTATAAGAATGAAAATAATTCAGTACAAGATGTGAAAGCTGATGACCTGCGGCAGATGTTTCTGGCCATGACAGAGGAGGTGTTTTTTTTCAAAGAAAAATCATTTGGTGATGTTTTTATGGAACATAATGTGCTAACCAACTGGTTTCCTTTCTAGGTCCGTGTCATCATTGTCAAGTTAGCTGACCGATTGCATAATATGCGCACTCTTTCACACATGCCTCCACATAAACAGGTTGGCGGTACAGGATGATCCTTAGCTAGGAATATATCATTTATTTATTTTTTGACACTTTTTTATGATTTCAGTCCAGCATTGCAATGGAGACATTGCAGGTCTTTGCTCCTTTGGCAAAATTGTTGGGAATGTATCAAATTAAGGTACATACTTATGCTCTTTTTTAAAAATACAATTTCCATTTTCTTATTATGAATTCAAGATAATATTTGGTTTTAACTCATTTCTGATTATATTTTGCAGTCTGAACTTGAAAATTTATCCTTTATGTACACCAATCCTGAAGATTATGCCAAAGTGAAAAGAAGAGTGACAGACCTCTACAAAGAACATGAAAAAGAGCTCGTGGAGGTAAATATTGTCCTCTTTTATCCAAAAAATCGTTTAGGCAGAGCTGTAGAAATATTATCCATTGATAATTTAAACAGTAATTTAATGTTGAACATACATTTTATGAAGTGTCTAAGTTTATGATTTTTCAACTGATATCTAATCTATTTTATTATGATTATCCTCTTCTTTTTTTGTTGGGGGGGGGTGTACTAGGCAGATAAAATTTTGATGAAAAAGATTGAGAATGATCAATTCCTGGAACTTATGACTCTTAAAACTGAAATTCGTGCAGTGTGCAAGGAACCTTACAGGTGAAGCCTCAAGTCTTTTTTCCTGCATTTTTTGTTGTTATTTATTTAGTTTTCTTTCTCATGATACAAATGACAAGAAGCTTTGAGGACTGTTTTGAGCTGTATTTTATGTCTACTGTCGAGGGTGCTTATGTTTATTAGGTCTGTTATTAGGAAAAATGTCTTGTTTACTTTCACATATATTTGTCTTAGCCTGAGTAATTGAATGAGCTGTAGAAATGATATACAGTGTGGTTCTAAGCAAGTTTTGTGGGTGAGAAAGGGGCTGGGAGTCTAGGGTCCTGCACCTGATTTTAAAGTGGAGAGGAAAACCATTAGACTTAAAGACAATTAAATTGAGCGAGATTTAAGTTATCAGTTTTAATAGCTATAATGAATATGGTGTTCCTTAGAATACTTGTAGCTAATTTTTCCCTTCCCTGTTGCCTGCTATACCTCTTTTTTATGGTAGCTTTTGAAGGCTTGTTTGGCAGACATTTGAATGATAATATCCTGACATGACATTTTTGTTCTTGGATCACAGTGTGTACAAATCTGTGCTCAAATCTAAGTTTCCAATCAGTGAGGTTAACCAAATCGCCCAGGTCTGTTTTGATATTTCCTTGAACCATCTTGACATCTAATATGAAACTTTTCTCATGGTCTACTTTTGCTTATTGACACATTATTCCTTTTGGTTATAAACAGCTTCGTGTAATCATAAAACCAAAGCCATCGGCTGGAGTTGGGCCTTTGTGTAGTTCACAGCAGGTGACCTTTTTTTCTAATTCATATTTTACTTAGTTTTCTATGAATGCATATGTACGTGGGTTACAATTGCATTTACTTCATGCAGATTTGCTACCATGTTCTTGGTTTAGTCCATGGTATTTGGACTCCTGTTCCTAGAGCTGTATGTATCCTTCTTTCTCCTCTCTTTTGGTGTCCTTTTAATATTTGATTATTGATGATTTCTGAAATATTGGTCGGTCTTTTCAACAGATGAAAGACTACATAGCAACACCAAAACCTAATGGCTATGAAAGCCTTCATACAACTGTAATTCCATTTTTGTATGAAAGCATGTTTCGCCTTGAAGTTCAGGTTCTTACATTCTCAATACTCCTTTAAGCAATTTCTGGAACAACTTTTTGCTAAGTTAAGTTATTTGAAATGAAAATTTTTATGTGAGAATATCTTTTAGTTCTTTTATGTGCTTTCCATTAATAAAGGGGGGGAGGTTGTTGAGTTTGGCAGCTATGGATCGAGTGGTTGGGAGTGGAATGTTCAAACTAGAAGAAATCTGAGTGATTGGGAATTGGACCAGTGGTTGGCTTTGATGACAAAACTTAAGGATTACAAATTGTCAGAGCTGGTGGAAGACTCTCTTTCTTGGTCTGCTAGTGGAGATGGCTTGTTTTCGGTAAAATCCTGCAGAAAATCTCTTGGTTCTGTGGATGGGAGTAATGATTTGTGGCTAAAAGGAGTCTGGATGGGTTTTGCTCCACCTAGAGTGGAAGCTTTCCTTTGGCAACTCGCACATCAGAAATTGGTAGTTAAGGCTGAGTTGGTTAAGAGAGGTGTTTCTTTAGGGGAAGATATTCAATGTCCTTTTTGCAAGAATCATGAGGAAACAGTTCAACATTTATTTATTTCTTGTTTTGTTGTGTGGAAATTGTGGAATAATATAGCTAGTTTCTGGGATATTTCGCTTGTTCTTCCTCAAGACCCTCCTGTGTTGCTTAGTTCCTGGGGTGAGTTGAGGGGTAATTCGACGATCTGGAAGTTTATTCCGGGTGTTATCTTCTGGTCAATCTGGAAAGCTAGGAATGCTATGGTGTTTGAAGGATCTAATCTTGACAGCATGTCTTTGTTCTTTACAGTTAGATTCAGACTTTCAAAATGGTTTTTAGCCAAGTTTCCTACGGTTCATATTCAAGAAGACTTGCTGATTGGTAATCCATCCCTAGCATATGGGTTTTCTTTATCCAAAGCCAAAGTTTGTCATATCTCGCGTTGGATTCCACCCCCTGTTGATTTTCTTAAGATGAATGTTGATGGAGCTGCTAGACTTGATGGCTCGGGTGGAGGTATTTTGAGAGATTGGGAGTGTCGTACACTTTTGACTTTTTCAGAGAAGGTTGGCCAAGGTACTCCTCCTCTAGCTGAATTAAAGGCTATTCAAAGAGGCATTGAAATTTTTCTGGCATCACATTGGGTATCTGTTGGGAGATTGATTGTTGAGTGTGATTGCAAGTCGGTAGTGGAATGGATTCAATCACCGGCTTTGACTCCTGCTTTCTACTCGCCTTTAGTTAATCAGATTTTGTCTCTTTCAAATGGTATGGTTCATTCAGTGAGGTGGATTTCAAGGGCAAGCAATGGGGAGGCTGATAGCCTAGCTAAGAAAGGGATAGGTTGACTGTAAGGCTCTATCACTGGATTTTCTGATCCAGCGAGGAGGTCTAGTTGAAAGTAGTTGTTAAGTTTTATGTGATGTAATTTGGTGTAGTGTTTAAATCTTATGTAAACTTTTATTATCAATAAAATTTTTAAGGCGCTCTTTTCCTCCTTCCGCTGATTAAGGAGCTTGCCCTAAGCTCCTTTAACCAAGAAGGGGGTTTTTAACGAGGCCTTCCAATCTTATCAAAAAAAAACAATCATAGATCTTGGATGAATATTGAAGTAATAATTGTTGAATTGATTGTCAGTAATTTGTCGAAAGATGAATGTTTAAACCATGCTCATTGTAATTAGTTTGTTTTGCAACTTATTTTATTAAATACATTTTTTGGCCTCTGGCAGATTAGAACCGAAGAGATGGATTTGATAGCTGAGAGAGGCATCGCTGCTCATTATAGTGGGAGAGGCGTTGTTACTGATCTAGTTGGGCATACAGTGGCAAATAGTAGAAGTTCAAGAGGGAAAATAGTTTGTCTTAACAATGCAAACATAGCTCTCAGGGTATTTCCTAGTTTCCATCAAGTTTTCATTAAGAATCGTCTTTAAAAAAATTCCCTGGGACCTTTTAAAGTCCCCGACAAGAATGCTATTTTTTATGGATGAAGCCTTTTCTTTTCTCCAGGTTGGTTGGCTCAATGCAATTAGAGAATGGCAAGAGGAGTTTGTTGGCAACATGAGCTCTAGAGAATTTGTAGATACCGTTACTAGAGATCTCTTATGTAGTCGTATCTTTGTCTTTACCCCAAGGGGAGAAGTATGACAATTAATATACCATAATTTATGCTTTTTGTTTCTATTAAAATTTTAACATAATTTTGTGGGGAGTTGTGATTTGAATATTTCTTGTGATTGATAGATTAAAAATTTGCCTAGAGGAGCTACTGTTATTGACTATGCCTACATGATACACACTGACATCGGAAACAAAATGGTGGCTGCGAAGGTACTTTTGAATTGCATGTTGCTAATTTTCCGATTACAGTGTCAGCCTACAACAAGAGACACAAATTTAATGCTTGACCTTTCTCATTTCAGGTCAATGGTAATCTTGTTTCCCCTACGCATGTGCTTGAAAATGCAGAAGTTGTGGAGATCATCACCTATAATGTTAGTAACCATGTTCTAATATCCATTTTGTCGAACGTATAATTGTACATGCTTCCATGATAATATTTAAATTGTGGGATAACTTGAATGCCATTTGATTATATACATTTGTGTTTCTTTTCTTTCAAAATTTGAAACTAGCTGCTAGGACCACCAAATCCGGAGTTTTGTTACATAATTTATAGGCCATTGGACCTATTATTGAAGAGATATTTACTATTTTTCCGGTTATGACCGAGACACAGAGTAGAAGATGTGAGTTACTGATTAAAGTACTTGGAAAAATTTACCTGTTGATGTTGAATATTCTTATCTGCTTTGTCATTTGCCCGCTATTCTAAATTCATCAGGTTACTGTATTGTTGTTATAGATCATTTGTGCAAAAACAATAACCCTGGTTTTTTTTCCTTCTTTTCTCTCCTTGATGTACAACTTTGCCTCTTGATGCAGGCACTCTCAAGCAAATCAGCTTTTCAAAGACATAAACAGTGGTTGCAACATGCTAAAACACGTAGTGCCAGGCACAAAATCATGAAAGTAGGTTGACTTTCATGGAGTATGGAACTGTGAATTATATATATATATATATATGTTATTTTCCCTTAGTTGTCGAGGCTCTGACTGTCTAAATTACTACTTATAATTAGTTCTTGAGGGAGCAAGCTGCACTATCTGCTGTGGAAATAACAACAGATAGAGTAAATGACTTCATTGCTGATTCTGAAGAGGATAGTGAAATGGAGGATCTCTCGCATAACTCCAGACAGAGCAAACCTATATGGGTGAAGATCCTGAAGAACATTGTGGACTTCTCATCCCCAGGAAGAAGTTGTGAGGATGCCTTGGCAAAAAATGGAAGTATTTGGTCCCCCAAGGTCAATGGGAAACATAACAAACAAGTACATGATGTGGGTTTGAAGGCCGACAACGATTTGTTATCATTGAGCAACGGTGCTGCAACAATGTTACTTGCAAACATTCCGCCACACAAGGAGGTCTTGCCTGGTTTGGAAAGTTGGCAAGCCAGTAAAATCACCTTGTGGCACAATCTTGAAGGACATTCTATCCAGTGGTTTTCTGTTGTTTGTGTAGACCTAAGAGGTAATTCATTTAGTAATTCTGATCTTGATTATTTTAATTTTGTTGGTGGTATAGTGATGCTAGTGACTTGGAAATCTGAACAATTAGAGTACGTAGGAGCCTATATTGCTGTGAAATTATGTAGGGACCCGATGAGACTGAACTTACATCCTTTAGTTGACTTGCCTCACGTGTAAACATTACGTCTTAGTCTATGTTACTCTGAATTTTTATTTTTTCCTGAAGTACCCTCGTCCGAAACATATTTGGACATGAGCATGGGGATATGATCCTTCAATGACCATCTAAATACATGAAAAAACTTGTAAAAAATTTAAATGTGTTCAATCCTCACATCCAAGTAAGATAGGTCGTTTTAGAACCTTATTGTCAATATTCTAACCTGAGCATCTTAAGTCAATAATGCCATCATTTTTTGGTAGGCATTAAAGTAAAGGTTGCATTAAACGGTTTCTTTTCCTTTTCCTTTTTGGCTAATGCACATGATTTTAGGAATGATGGCCGAGGTCACGACAGCATTGGCAGATGTAGGCATCACCATATGTGCCTGTGTGGTGAGTTGGTTCAAATTCATCGATGAGTTACGTGGTAGTTCGAGAGTTTTCTAACATCTTTACTTTCTTCTGTTTCAGGCCGAGATTGATAGAGGAAGGGGAATGGCTGTCATGTTATTTCATGTTGAAGCCAACCTTGAAATTTTGGTACTTCTTTCAAATCCACTTTTGTATTCCATCTTGTTTCTAGTATCCCTTCCTTTACCTCCTTTTTTTATACAATTTTCCATTGTGAATTTGATACGACTCGAGTGTTGGATACGGTCAGGCGTCCTATTTAGGAGTTTTCGGAGTATCATATCTCTGTACCCATATCCGGATATTTGTTTAACACGGGTTTCAAGCATCGATGTTTCTAGAAAAATGAAGAATTGAAGCAACATAGTGAAAGACAGAGTTCTATGGTTTTAAAACGTCATGAGATGAACTACATACCGACTTAAGGAATGGCTCGATTTTGTTTCAGGTCAATGCTTGTTCGAGGCTCGATATAATCTCGGGCGTTCTGGGATGGTCTGTTGGTTGCAGCTGTCCTAGTTCAACAGAAAACAACCAACTCATGGATTGCTAGTTCAATAAACGAATCAATAAATCCAACTAGTCGACCCAGCTGTCGTACGCTTGGTATGAAGTTTTGTCCCCCACAGAGAGCTAAGGTATAGCGTATTTACAGTAAGTTTTGGATTGTTGTCCATAACCATTATCTGTTTTATAAACACTCTTAAAACCAAATAAACCAGCGAGGAAGAAGCTGAGTTTGAATCAGATTCAGGGCGGTGTATATAAGAAGAAAAGGTTTATACACTTGTAAAGATACGTAGGTTAAACACTTTTACAAGGTTTTTTCTTAAAAGAAATAGAATTGGATATATTTCGTGTCCGTTTTACGGTTTATGTTCGAGATTTGTGATTGCATTCTGCCTGTGTTCGGAATTGATAGATGAGTAGAAATTAATATTTTTTATTTATCTTTTCCTTACGACAGGGCAATTTTGATCATCAATTTTTTTCAACGGTAAATTACAAATTTAGTAACTTAATTTTACTCTCTCTCCTATTTCACTCACTATATTTTATATCTTTTCAATTTCCTCACAAAATTTGATACAATTGATTTTTTTGTCACTAAACCTTTAAATAGTTAATGGCGTTAAAATGTGTTGTTATATAGTTGTAAAACGATATCGTTTTGGTGAAAATTTTGTTTTTTTTAAAAACGGTGTTGTTTTTAACGCCATTAACTATTTAACGGTAGAGTGACCAAAATAAAAGAAAGAGTAAAGTTCAGTGACAAAAAAATAATATATTAAGTTTATTGAGAAAATTGAAAACTTTTAAAGTTCAATGAACAAAATAAGAGAGTAAAGTTCAGTGATAAAATTGGTAATTTACGTTTTTTTCAATAAAGTATCAGTATACGTTTAATATTTTTGAATCAATTGAAGGTGGTAAGCCTATTTATTTCTAGTTCTGAAGGGTCAAAATTCAGTACTAATATATTAATTATAAAATCATTCTTGAAACAGTAAATTAAGCTATGGATAATTAGCAAAGGGTTTGACATTTTAATTGCATGTAACTTTATCTCTCGTACGTCGAAAAGAACAAAAGGAGAATATAAAATGAGATTTTAATCTTATGTGACCTTCACTCCCATTAAGCATTCTTTTTTAAAGTCAAGAACGGATGTAGAATTTTACGTTACGAGAAGTGAATTTAGATTTAGGAAATGAATTAAAATTCTATGAAACAGACGTATAATTTTATGTTAGGAGAAGTGAACTTGAATTTAGGAAGTGAATTAAAATTCCACGGATTAAAATAGATTTTCAATAAAAATATAAAAAAAATTAAAGCATATGACAATTTTAAACTTTTCAAGAGACGACTATCCTTCTCATCTTCTCTTGATCTATCCCTACCATGGAACGGATGGAGAAAAATATTTTGATCATTGCAAATAGATAATATTATATTTTTAATACATATTTAAAAGTAACATTAGTTTTATATTTTAATATTTGTAACCTATTCAAAATTTAATATAATCCGGAATAAAAGAGAACAATCGAACTAGATAAATTTAAATTCTATAAAAATGTACCATATTAACTGAGTTTTACACTAAATTGAATTTAATTAAAACTCATCTATAATATAAAAATTGATTGAAGAATAAATGGATTGACGAAAATATATATATTAAAGTTTTTATTGACATTAATTACATTGAATTCGATATCAGAAACTATGTCCCTTTCACTAATAAAGTTATTAGGTCTGTAAATGAATTCAACGAACAAAAAAAATGTATATTCATGTTTGTTCGTTGAATTCTAACCGAATAAACAAACGAACATAAACAATTAAATGAACGAAATTTTTTGTTCGTGTTCATTCATTAAAAAATTTGTCTTGTTCATGTTCGTTGGTTAAATGATAAGCGAACACAAATAAACAACATGGAATTAATTGAGTTTATATTTGAGAAGAATTCTTTTTTTTCCAAATAATTTTAGGATTTGTATTTTTTTTAATTAATTGAGTTTATATTTGAGAAGAATTCTTTTATTTCCAAATAATTTTAGGATTTGTATTTTTTTTAATTTATTTGAGTTTAAAATTAATTATGTTTTAAAATATTAATGGATTTAAGGTTAAAATTTATTAGATCTTAATATTTCAAAAGGTCTAGATATTGAGCTGAATATTAATGAACGAACATAAATGAACGGATTACCGAACGTTCACGAATGTAAATAAACGAACAAACCCTTTATTCATGTTCGTTCCTTTAGTTAAATGAACATGAAATCTAGTTTATTTTCATTCGTTTAATAAATAAACGAACTTCCTGTCGAATGGTTCACAAACGGTTTGATGAACGTCCAACTTGTTTATGGGCTAAAAAGTATTATAACTACAATTTTTCAACTTGGAGTTAATTTATAAACATAATGACCCACCAAAGAGATTGATTAATTGACTAATGATCAAGTCAATCACTATACGCCCACCGGTTAAGACCTAAACACATTCGGCGTGTAGTTCATTGGCTAGTACCCATTTCTTGTCCACTTACTTTCTTCATTAACACACCAATTGCAATGGAATTAATGGATAATACTTTTCCATAAATGATTGTAAAAATGTAAATACTCGGATTTATTTCGAATTGAATCAAAGTTAAGGGATGAATATAAATTCTAATTAGATCTTTTATTGATTCAAATTTAACTCAAATATTATACACTTTTTAATTTGATTTGATATAAATATATAAATATATATTTTTTATAAAATTAAATTAAAACAAAATTAAACGAATTCGACTCTCGAGCCGTAATTTTTGTAGGTGTGGGTAAAAGGGTGAGGAAAGTTCCACACCCCAGCTTGTGTTGGCTGTATTCTATTTGCCTCTCCCTACTTAAACCACCCACCATGGTCATTCTCTTCCCCATCCCTTAAACCCTTCTAAATTTCCTTTTCCTTATCATTTCCATTAAGCTTTTCCAAGATCCAAACTACTTGATCTGATTTCAAAGAAAATGTGTGGTGGTGATATCATCGCTGAATTCGTCACTCGGAAAGGCGGCCACCGTGTGGCTGCTTCCGATTTCTGGCCCAACTCTCCTTTGGCTAACATCGATGGCTTTAGCTCTGATCAGAGTCAATCCTACAGTGATGATTCGGTCTGTCTATTTAAAAGACCCCGACCCCAATCCTCCTCGGGTACTAGTTGTTTCATTTTCAGAAGTTTAGTCAACCATCTTGTTTCTGATTTTTGTTTTGAACATTTTTACGAACAGGTGGTGCGCGAGTGGAGACGAAGGTGAAACGGCAGAGAAAAAACCTGTACCGGGGCATACGGCAGCGTCCATGGGGCAAATGGGCGGCGGAGATTCGCGACCCCAGAAAAGGGGTTCGTGTTTGGCTCGGCACTTTCAGCACCGCCGAGGAAGCAGCCCGCGCCTACGATAGAGAAGCTCGTAAAATCCGCGGTAAGAAAGCCAAAGTCAATTTCCCCAACGAAGACGACGCTTTCTCCACGCAATATAACAACTCAAACACTGCCTGGAATCCCGCCCAAAGCAATAATCTCAGCGACAATGGATTCCATTGTGACTGGAACGAACTTGGCGAATTCTCGACCGACCCGATTGTCATATCTGAAGAGGAAAAATCAGGGTCTAGCGATCAAAACACGATGAATTCATGTTACCTTCCGGTGAAGGCCGAACAAGAAGAGGCAGTGAATAAGGCCGTGTTCGGGGTTGAAGAAGAAAACCAAGTACAGAAACTATCGGAGGAACTAATGGCGTACGAGAATTACATGAAACTGTATGAGATCCCATATCTGGGAGGAGAACCGTCGACCCAAAATGCCATGGCTCAGCCGGAGAGTGTTTTCGGTGAACTTTGGAGCTTTGTCGATGATGATAACAGCGCCGTCGCTTTTCCTCCGGCGTCACTGACAATATGACGGGACGGCTTTGGTTTTACTTTCTTTGTATGGTTTTCCTTTTTTTCCTTAATGTTATATGAATTAGGAGAAGATGAACTGCTTTTTAACTCTCGCATATGTTTGATTGTCTTTGAATTTGTGAAATAAAAAAAAAATTAATACTTAATTTTAATTAATTAGTTTTTTTTCACCTGTTCCAAACTTTTTGGGCGGTGTAAATCGTAAAAAAAATATCCCTATTTCAAAAATATTTATTTGTGTCAATTGATATTATCTTTAATAAAATATATAAAAGAATGTATCAAAATATTATTTTATTTGATTACATCATTGTCATTTATATTATGTTGATTGAATTGTATTAGTCGAATTTTAAGTAGTTTGCGATTAATTATGAAGATATTGAATTAGTTAAAATTTCAAAGATAATTATATTTCGTATTCTTTATAAAATTATGATAAATTACATAATTCCTCGTTGAGTTATACTCTATCTCCTATTTTGTTTATCGTATTTTTAATTTACTCACCAAAATTTCAAAATACTTCTATTTTGTTTATTCTGAATTATTTTATTATTAGTTTGGCATGATATGATGTTTTATATTATTTAATATAAAATAATCGAAAACATAAAATAATAACAAAAGGTGGTCGGATATCACTGTCGACCGTCATAGATGGTGGACGTTCGGTCTCAAATTTTATATATTCATTTGTCTCAACTCCTGAGTTCAAATCCGATGGTTGTTTCACTTAAAAAATGTCCCACGATCGATGAATATCAACTGAAACGTTTTGACTTCATCACTTTCAATCTATAAGTCATGGACTTCGAAGCAAGTTATAACAAAACGGAGGTCAGATCCGGACTCGCGATGTTGAGGCGAAGTGACCCATAAATTTTGGGACCGAATGACCGCCATATATGTCGGCCAATGGTGGCCAGCGATTGTGTCGGATCATCTTTTATTTTTATTTTATATTAAATAGTAATAATAAATATCACATTATATACAAATAATAATAAAATAATTCAAAATGGTCAAATTAGAAATAATTTAAAAATTCAATGAATAAATTATAAAAAATAAAAATACGATGAATAAAATAAAAAAAATTATAATTCAGCGAGGAATTGTACGATTTACCCATAAAATTATAGGAACGAAGAGGAAGAATGTTACTTGTAAAGAACGCCGGCAATGAAGTGGGTCCCAAAATGGGTGAGTTGGGCCGAGATGTCGGTAAAGGTGAGGTTTACAATCATAAAATCTAATCTAAGTTGGGGAAGCTGCGGCGCCGCCGGTGGTTTTGCGGTTACGGTTTTCATCGTACCATCTTTGTCTTGTCTGAAGAATCTCATGCCTTGTCTTAAAACTTTGACCTTGACACGTCACCTACGATTTTTGTTTCGGTTCTCACACTTGGTAGGTGAAACTGGCGCCCATAGATTTCGTGCTTTTATTTATTTATGCCCGTTCTTACCTCCTTTGAAGCATTCAAGTACAATTCCAACTCTTTTACCACTTTAATTTAAAAATGTTGGATAGGGTACTGTCACCGACTTTGAATGTTATAAAATATCTTTTGATTATAGTTTATAATATATTGTTTCGTTGAATCTTTTGATTATAGGATGTTATTTCATTGAATCTTTCGATTATTAAGTTAAAAAATAATTATTTAATTATTTATATATTTCAAACTAGTCTATTTTTTTTGTTAAAAATTTGACGGACGTCTGAGTTTAATATTAACCTACTAAAATATTATAAAATCATAGTTTAATAATATCAATTGGTAATATCGTTGCTTTCAGCACTAACTAAATAACATAATGTTTCAAGCACTGATTCCACAATATGATATAAATTGATAGTCGATCCATAAAATACAATTTAAATGGTTATAGAACCAGATTTTATCATATCTCAATCAACATGTTAATGTTAAGCTCAAATGAGCCGTCAATTTTTTAATAAAAAATACGAGTTTGAAACATATAAATAGTCAGATGATCATTTTACAACTTTTAATAATGAGAATACTAAATAAAATAATATATTATAATTAAAATTTATTTTTTAATTTTTAATAATTAAAAAACTTAACAAATTAGCATGATGATTTCGGACGTTAATTAATTAATTTTTTTCCTCCTTTGAAGTACTACCACCAAAATTCCTAACGATATTTTGTACTGCTACCAGCTGTAGGCATTAGGCGTAACTTCAATTTCTTTATTATATGTATATAATTAACGTGAAAAATTATTTTATTTTAAAAAATCAAATAATTTCAAATTCTAAATATTTCGATTTTAAGAATTTACAGTAATTCTATTAATCAATTTTGATTTATGTCTATTCGTTTCACCTTTTAATCAAAATAAAAAAGGGTAAAGTATATAAATAGTCCCTAATCTTTTAGGAAACTTGCATTTTGATCACCCAACTTTTGAAACTTTCAATACAATCATCAAACTTTTAGTTCGTTTTCATTTTGGTCTCTGTCGTTACCTCCCGTTAGTTTTTGCTGACGTGACACTTAACTCCTGTTAACTCCCCTTCTTCTTCTCCAGGTTATCTTTTCTTCTTCTCCAAAGGCATTTTCTCTGGACATGGAGAAGTAATTGTTGAATCTAATACCGTCAACCCCTTCTTCTTCTTCTCAAGCTATCTTAAATATGGTATGTTCTCTTATGGTTAATTTTATTACCCTTTGATTTAAAATTTTTATTTTTAATCTTTGGGAGCTTTTCCCCTTTATTGTGTGGACATTTAGAAGAATGACGAGATGCTTTTTGGAAATTGAAGATGAGTTTTTGGGGTTTTGATTCATTCTATGGATAAGGTTTATGAGACGTTGAGGTTGTTTTTTTCTTTTTGCAATTCTAAAGAGAAAAAAATGCAACTTCTTGCCATTTTAATGGTGAAAAAGAAAATGCATTGTTGGATTTCATGAATAATTTAGTGTGTGAAATTTAGTTATTGTTTCCTTGCATGTTTATCGTATCAAAATAGTATTATTTTATGGTGATTTGTTGTTGAAATTTGTTGGAAATTTGAAATTTGCATATTTGAGTAAAAATTAGATCTTGATATTCAAGGCCAAACAATGGATCATAAAGACAAATGTTTCACCAGTTTTTTCCCTTAGGGATTTTTATCTAACTAGCCAAATTGAGCATGCCATAATCAAGCCCATAAACTTAAAAGGTATATGTTTCATTTAATAACATTCTAAATGTGTCTACGACTCTCAATGGAACATACAATGGGCTTATATTTATTATCATAGAATCATTTATTAATCTACGTCTGATAACTGTAAAAAGATCTGATAACTGTAAACATTTGATAACTGAAAATCATCTGATAACTGTAAATATCTGATAACTGAAAATCATATAATAACTGTGAAATGTCTAATAACTGTAAACATTTAGAATTCAACATCATAAATATAATACTTGGGCAATTCATACCCAAAATCATTCATAAAACTTGATGAAAAATATTATAGAAATATTCCATACTGAAAATTTATAAATCATACTGGAAAATAAAATGAGGTTAACTTATCGCAAATCATCATTGATAAGAGTAATTAAATAAATAAACTAGACTCATTTGAACAATTAACTTGTAAATCAAATATAAGTCTCATCAAGCTTTAAAAATTACTTTCACTACACAATTTATTGATATTTTATATTCTGACAGTTTGCACTAGATTCAAAGTTGTACAATTTATAGCAGATTTTCAAAGTTGATTGACAAAAGTTGTTTTGGATAGAATCTGATGTCTTGTTTTTTGACCTATCACTGATTAAAATTTTATATATTTTTGTATACTCCTAGAAATCAGTTTCTATTTGTTCTAAAAGAAACTGGACTAATAGAAGAATCTAATAGTATGAGATTCATCCTCTAATCATTTTTGTAGAATTTTTGATGATTTTCTAAACTTACTGTTCAAAACATAATTTATAGGCAGATTTTACCAACTAGTGTCCATGATTTATTCACTAGGTCTATTAGTTTACTAAATAAACATATAAACTTGAATCATACTTCACATAACACTAAGTCACTTCTTAACGTAACTATGACACTGGCTCATCGCAAGCCAATGTTTGGTCGAAACATATATACAATTGAAATGCACTCACATTTGCCTCGCCATGAAATATTCTCCACGATGATCTTCTCGATCCAACACTTTTTCTTACCCTTTCAAGCTACTTGAATCACTAAATTTACTGTCGACACCATATAATCACATAGAATATTCAAACTATTCGTTAGTATCGAACTAACATAATCTAAACTTAAATATAAAATTCGATAAAAATAAATTCGATACTTAAATTTATATAAAACTTAAATCGAACATCGATCGTAATTTCAAACTTCCCAAAATATTCCTTAAATTCCATGAATATTTCGTTTCACTTCAACTCTTCAACTTTTACTAATTTCATAATCCAATCACTAATTATGAATTCTTTTTAGAATTCATATCAATTTTCCTATTTAATCCATAATGACCTTTCACCATTATGATCATTTCACATTGATCACATAAAATTTCCAACACCTCAATAAAATATTCAAATCAACACTTCAACATTCAAAAGCTTGCAATTTCATCCTAAACTTTCTTAGACTTTCCAAATTCAACCACACAACTTGATAAACTTGAAATTAAATCTCAACTTAAGAATTAAACCAAAAAATTAGCATACTAAATAAATTTCTAGCATTACAATAATTTACTCAAATGATACTTCCATATTTAATAATCTTAAAATCAAATCCCCATAATATTGAGACTTTTCGAATCCCACCCTCAAATTTTATCCAATTTGCAATTTGGTTCCAAAAAACTTTCCAACTTAAATTTCCAGTATTTTCGACTATCGAAAATCAGCATTAACCCTTCAATTATTACATTCTTACAATAATATCCCACAATTCTCAAAACTTGTATATTAACCATTTTACTAACTCAAGGATCCAAATTGATCTCCAAGTCACATATAACACTTTTAATATTAATTCTAGACTATAGGAAAATTTTCAATTTTCCCCCCTAATTTTTCCCCAATTGGTCGAATATCACTATGTACTTAGGGTGAACTTTTCATTCAATTTCAAGCATGAGTTCAACTTATTTATTATTAAATTCATGCTATTCTAGCCATAACAACATCAAACTACATAAAAAAATCCAACATTTCCAAAAAAACCTAATTAGGCCAAATGGTATACAAACATGTACACATCAAATTAATCATCATACATGTCTTAAAATTAATCTCCAACCTCAAAAACATAAAAGTTCTTCATCAATCTTTCAAAACCCTACATAAACCCTAATTTTTAATCTCAACACACAATCATCTCCACCATGAAATATTAGTGCCAAATGATAGAGAATTTCATGTAGAATAATTTTATATTTCACAACTTAATCCAAATACTAATCATGTAGCTTTAAAAATCAAAATAAAATCCTTACCCTGGAAACCCTTGAACTTTCGACCTAAGGTGAAAAAATGGCTGAAAATGCTTAATTATCTTGATAATTCTAGTATTTAATATATAATACACTTGGCATAAAGTTAATTTAATTGAACTTAAAATTCAATTAATGAGAAATTCCAAAAATACCATTAATGAACCTTGATAATTACCAAATGTCATTGCATTTTCTTCCAATAAAATATTCCTTAGTCAAAGATGAATCACCTTGGATTTGAATTTTCACTTTGGCCATGTAATTTTTGAAAATTGCATTTTAGTCACTAATTTTCCACTGTTCAATCAAATCTGAAAAATTACATTGTTTTAAGCCAAAATTCTTTAATATAAAACATGGAAATAATATTTCCAACCATTTTCTAACATCCTTTAATTTTTTGTAAAAATTTGGTTCGATCTGATTATCTGATTTCAATGTCGAAGTTTATTGCTTTATAACTTTTAGCACAAATCTCATACTGAAAATATGATTCCCACAAAAATCCTTGTTTTAGGCCAATCAGTTTATTTATAGGCTAAAATATATAACTTTTGAAAATTATATTTTTAGTCCCTAAACTTTTACAAAGTTTATACTTTAACCCTCAAACTTTAAAAACTTACATTTTAGTCACTAGTTAAAATTTGGAGTATTACATTCATCATGTTAGATTTCATGGGTAAAAGGAAAAAAAAAAGAATCATGAATGTGTTAACGGGATTAAGTGTCGCATCATCAAAAACTAACGAGAGATAACGACAAGGACCAAAATGAAAATGAACTAAAAGTTTGATGATTGTATTGCAAGTTTTAAAAGTTGGGTGACCAAAATGATAATACCCTAAAAGTTTGGTGACTATTTATATACTTTACCCTAAAAAATTAAGTCTCAAAATTTTATCCAAAAACATTTTGATTGTGATGATTTATTTATACAAAAATGAAATTAATTAGTGTCAAAGTACTTTCATCTCGCTTGTAGTATTAAACTTGTTACAAAAAAATTGCAAAGAACATTAAAAAAGTTATCAACTTCTGATAACCATTTTTTTAATAAATGATTTGAAAATTATTATAACATAAAATATGAAACATTTATTTTGACAAGAAAATAATATGACTAACATCTTAAAGATTGTGTCGAATGTTTATCTTTCTCTCTTTCGATAGGAAAAGAATTAAAGAACACAAAATTAATTTTATAAATAATTTAATCATTTTTTTGTTGGATTATATAAATATAACATATATAATGAACTCATGAAGTGACTTCAGTGATAAAAGATCGATCAAAATTATTATATATAATATACTCGAACAATTAATTTTTAATTGATAATAGACGAACTAAAAGTTACTATTAATGTGTAAAGTTATTTATCAAGATTATGATCTCAAATTATATAATAATAATAATAATAATAATTTAAATTTTATGACATCACACCTTCAAATGAAAACTAAGGCCTATAAAATATATTTGTCAATTTAAAATATCAAAATTATAAAATTTTGACATTAAAATCCAGAAATGATAATTTATCGAAAAAGTTAGGTACACATAAATGTCCCTATGGTCGGTGTCTATATGGACTCGATGTATTTTTGATATAGTGTAAACCGCAATATGGGCTCCTGAGTTATTTTTAAAGGGACGTTTTGTATTGTATTTGATATGAACTCATGAGCACGGATTAAGTCGTTTATGTAGTAAAAGAATTATTTTTATTCTTGGGAACTCGAGCTCGAACACCATAAATATTAGGAGTGTGAGTGTTTAATATTAAAATGTTAAGAGCTATCTTCGAACATATATTGTCTTGTATTACCCTAAATTATTAAAAAAATGGACTCATGAACTGAAAATATCAAATTTCACTTAATTATTGGGGAATTAAACTGGAGTTATCAAATGAGTGGATACCGAATAATAGCTTGTTTGAGTACATAATTAAAATCTGGTCCTTAATCAGATGGACCAATCATTTTTTCCGGCACCACAAGACAATCAAATTCTTCTTCTGTCAGCAGACCCAGCTTGGCCGTTGCCGCCTACAAAGACGAACCAAAACACAGTCTCAGATCGGATTTCACTAATAATATTTGCATGAAAAATGATAGTGAAGATCAAACATGACCTTCAAGGAGCAGCCTTCCCTGTGTGCTGTCTTGGCAACTGTTGCAGCATTGTCATAACCGATTTTCTGAAAGAAAAAACCAAGATTCCACTATTAGTTATGTTGACGACAATAATAACATTACAACAACTGTTGACGGTTTACTCTTTTTAATTTGGGTGAAGAATTATTGTCTCGATTGATCTAATAAATAGAAAGAAATGATATATAGGGTAGGAAGAGAAATCGAGAAAGAGAGAGTCCAAGTCTTCTCTACAACCATTCACGGTGACTTATAAATGGCCTCTTAGTGTTAGTGTCGGGGTTAATTAGATGATACACTCACGGGATAAATAGATATATAGATATGATGATTGTCAGATATTAGATTGTACTTCATATAATCACGTTAAGGGGATGTAGCTGTCCTCTCAAAGAATATAGAGTTTCGGAGGCTTTGAGGAATTCTAAAAGATACAGAATTTCAAAGACTTCGATATACTCAAAAGGTCTCAACGCTCGACAACACTTTTCCATATACACTCGATTCAAAGTGAAAACATCCAAAATCAAGACAATGAAACAAAGATGAAGACTTACAGGGTTCAAGGATGTCACAAGCATTAGAGACTGCAAATTGTCACAAGCCAACGACACATGATCATGGTTAGCTTCGGAATCGATTGAATGGTATAAAATATAGGGACGATAATGAGTCGAACACGAAGAGATTACAGACCTCATGCAGTAATTTCGAAATCCTTTCCTTATTAGCTTGGATTCCCTTCACACAGTTCTTCTCGAAGGAAGCAGCCGCATCACCCAGCAACCGTATTGACTGATACCAAAGAAAACAACACTTAGATCCTAATTCCAGACAAGTACCCGCAACGAACACGGTTCCGATACGACGGAAACGCTTGTCGGATACGTGAAAGTTGCAAGAAAAGAACAAATTACGTACATGTAAGAGTGCATTAGCCATCAATGGCTTGAACACATTGAGTTCAAAGTGGCCATTTGATCCACCCACTGTGATAGCCACATGGTTGCCCATAACCTGGGCGCAGACCATAGTAAGAGCCTCACATTGTGTAGGATTCACCTTTCCCTGAAAAAAATATTAAATTTCATGAATAATTTTATTCGTATCGTATCATATCCGTATTCGTATAAATAAATCGATAGATAAGATAAGACGAGAATTTTACAGGCATGATACTGCTGCCAGGCTCATTTTCGGGAAGAATAAGCTCACCAAGCCCACATCGAGGACCACTGGACAAGAAAACATGGTGAAACCATGAGAACAATATTGCTAAATAACAAAAAAGAAAATAAAAATAAGGAAAAAAATAATTATAAAACCTTCCCAAGAAACGAATGTCATTTGCAATCTTCATGAATGATGCAGCTAAAGTATTCAAAGCTCCACTAGCTTCAACAAAGGCGTCATGTGCGGCCTGGTTATTAAAATGAAATAAAAATTTCATATATGTTATTCGAATTCGAGAGAAAATGTATTCGAAAGTTTTCGTGTTTAAAAATGTATCGAATAAAGAGAAAGTTGAGAGAATTAACCAAAGCTTCGAACTTATTTTCTGCTGTGACGAATGGCAACTTTGTTTCCTCGGCTACTGCAGCAGCTATCTTCACATCAAACCTGAGATCATTTTTTAACATTACACGCTCTCGAAATAAATTTTATTCGACATAAAATATGATACACGAATTTTAATTTTAACATAAATCAGACTCGTCGAAAAAATAGATCGTATCTCGACTCCGACCGACGTTAAAACACGAAGAAAACGTACCCTTTCTTTGTATTTAAACCTGTTCCCACGGCAGTGCCACCTTGTGCAAGCTGATACAGTCGAGGCAAGGTGGCCGAAACCCTATCGATTCCATACTTTACCTGCAACCCAACCACAAAACAAATACTAAATTGCATGTTTTTAACATTTTTATTTAAATTCCACTCGATTCAAAATAAAATAATTCAATTAAATATATATATAATCAAATTTCATCCTAAATTAGATAAAAGGAAGTGGTGGATAAAGAACTTGCCTGTGTAACATATCCACTAAACTCTTGTCCAAGAGTCAAAGGCGTCGCATCTTGAGTGTGGGTGCGACCGATTTTAACAATGTCTTTGAATTCATTAGACTGCCCAAAATAAATAAATAAATAAGTCCCAGATTATGTTTTTCTTTTGCTTTTAAGTCCCTAAATTATTTTGGAATCAAAGAATATTTTTGTTAAATTAAGAGATTAAAGAACAGTTTACCATTTTATTAATTAAAAGTCTTCCAACTTTAAGGGTTACAAAATGATTTTATCAAACCAAAAACCAAAAGGAGGCATTGTTAAAAAACTACAAGGCCAGACAGAAAACGAGCATTTGACATGGCGATTATTGGAAAACGTCGAGTCCACGAAGTGTATTTGGTGAAAATGCCATGCGCCAACATGCCGTGCTCTAAATTCCTAAATGAAATAATATTATAATGACTCTTGAACTTCAATAAATCTGTCATTACGGTCCTTTCTCTTTAAACCCATATTTTTCTTTATTAATATGGGTAAGTACAATACAATATCTGTTCAATGATAATTCTCAAACTTTCGACAGTGACGTTCACCGTAAATATAAGAGGATGTGAGATCCACATGTATAAACGTTTAATACTCTGATTTAAAATCATAAAGTAGGGTTAAGAAGCACGTGCAAAACCTTTGATTGCATAGTGGAATGCAAATTCTTCAACTCAGGTAATAATCTTGAGTTTATTTCCATTGCTGCTGCAATGTGCATTACCTGTAAATAAATAGGCATTATGAGACATGACATGTTAGATGATACATACAACAAAGACATAACATGCTAAGGACACAACATCAACTATTTTTTTAATTGTATAATGACAAAATAGGTACCCACCAATGCAAAGTTGTCAATTTCATGCCCTATTCATTTGTTTATTTTAACCAATCAAACCCTCCATCTAATACAACTCATCTTTGAATAATTTTTATCTTAATCCGATTATATGACAATGAATCTGAGTTTATATTATCGACTGAATCATAAATAAAATAATTAAAAATATCATTTAAATTTGAATTTACATCATCGATTTAATTCACATTACTTGTAAAAATCAAAATTGATTTCCAATCGTTCATTTAGAAAAAGAAAAAGAAGTTTTAAAGAAAGGAGAAAGAAAGAAGCCCCCTCCACCGTGAATCATGAACTTGAGTGGTGATTTTAATGGGCGAAGGTAGGGCCAAAGTAATAAAAAGGAGACTTTTGACTTTTTAAATTGATTGGGATTGGATTAAATTTAAATAATAAAGAAAGACTTTTAATTTTTGAAATTAATTGATCAAGTTGGTTTAAATACATAATGAGATGACTATCCAGCTCAGTTTTAACCTTGAGGTCGTGGGATCGAGTCTCACGGAGGACATTTCATAATTTGGAGGTTTCTACGGAAACTGCTCTCAACCTGATATTGGGGGCAACCTACTATCTTAACTCCCATTTACCCTATTACATATGGGAACAAGGGACATCCATTTTTTGGTTTAAATACATAATTTAGAAAGTAAGAAATCAATGACATAGATGGGTTAAGTTGTACTTACGGTTGGAAATGTGTCGTTAGAAGACTGAGATTTGTTAACATGGTCATTCGGATGTACAAACTTTTCACCACGTTTATGCCCCAGAATCTCAGCTGCTCGATTAGCAATAACCTAAGAAATTTTCAAAGATCCGAAACAAAGATTACGATCTCTTGTAATATTTGATGCATTGTCGATATAAAATGATCTATATGTGATCCATAGCTACCTCATTGGCATTCATATTACTCACTTCCTGACAATCTTATGGAATCTCTGGCTAGGTCCGACGGTATGTTCTATACCAGGTTAGTTGTTGCCTTGGAGCTCAATCAACAAGTATTTTACTAGTTAAGCTACTAAATGTGAGCTACATAGGCTTATATATGTATACTTATCGATATCGGCATAGTGAATGGCATGAATATAGCTGTTCTTGGCTGCGGTTGGATTTCGGTATTGATCGACTCAATCATGTATTGTTGTTCCATATTACAATAGCTGTTATCGGCTGCTGACTCTGTATCGATGGACAATCGTTTATGATTGCTTGATGTTCCAATTGCTGTTATTTGCTCCATATTCTTTTAGATTCTTTTCATAAATTGGATAATTGGTTTGCATCGACTGAAGGTCTCGTTTTTCAGTTGTTTTTTTTATAAATATGATCGCATTTTATAAGAGGATAAGTGGGATTAAGTTTCAAATTGTTGTTACTTTTATTGACAGACGTATCGGTGTGTTGAGTGAACCGAGTCAACCACGGGCGATTGTAGGGGAGTAGTATGGCATTTACATTGATTTACTCTATTTTGGTTTTCTACATATGCAATATCTCGGCAGTTTAGTGTTTGTTTCTACATTTTCATATTGATATGATGCAGTTTTTGCATCTTTGAAAAATCATCAGCCTTTTATCTTTCCAAGGGATGAACTTTCGTGTCAATATTCACCGATGTTGGAAGATTCAGATGAGTCGAGATTTTGTGAGGTGCCTATGAACACACGTTTATCCCATTCCGACAGTGCACCTACAAGTCCCGTTTCCCCATATAGATATCAAAGACCACTGAATGGCTTCTGTTCAACTCCTCCAACTTGTCCGTACCCTTCGCATGGGAAGCTCGGTGCTGTTGCTTGTTCACAGACTCGTCAAAGAGGCTCGGATGCAGAGGGTCGGTACCCATCTTCACCGAGCGGTATTTGCCATTCTGCTGACTTAAGGAGGGCAGCACTCTTGCGATCTGTACAGATGAGAACATAGCCTTCCGGTCAGCCGTCATTTGAATTGCCATTTGGATCAGACCAAGAGGGTGTGCCTAACATTGAGATTGAGGAACGACCGTGCTCATTTATGAAGTCCGTAGTTGATGATCGGGAATATCAGATCGAGGAGTGTTCTTCCTCGGGTAGCTCCGATCCTGAATTTAGTCGAGAGAAATCTTGCGGAGTGCTGCCGAGCATGAATTCGAAAGGGGATGAATCCGAGCATTAGATACTTTGATCGATCAAAGCTGGTTCCGACCTAGTTCTGAACATATCTCCATTGCAAGAATTAGATTGCTGGAGCATATTATGGATTTCTATTTGTGAATTTTAAGATGTTTTACTTATATAAACAGTTCCACCGGTTGAACCGATAATCGTTGGTCTACCGATTCGACAATAGGCGCAGCTGTTACAATATTGCAAATTAATTTCAAAATCTCATATTAATTCTCAGTATCCAAGCTTCATTCACGGAAAACATTAACTTTTCTGCACAAGTCCTTGTACTTTCATTCTAGAGTGAAATTTAGTCCCTGTATTTCATAATTGAATAGTCTAACCCTTATACTTTTAGTGTTGGTGCTAGGGGTGAACATTCGATCGAGTCGAATGTTATTCAAGTTTTCGATTCTTATTTTACGAATCGAAGTTGACTTGAAATATTATTATGATATTATTTGATTTCAACTTAAATGAATTTTTTTTATAATTATATACAATATATGTATATTTCTTCATATTTTAGGGACTCGTACAAATTTGAAAATCAATATACTCATTACTAAAAATTTCGAGTTACATTTTATAATTCTATTAGAACGTATTTTTTTTCAAATCGAGTCGAGTTTATGAAGTCATAACTCGAAGTTAATTCGAGTCGAGTTTGTGAATTACAACTCAAAATTTCTTGAATTTAGTAAAAAAAAAATCAATTTTTCAGGTTGAGTCGAATTTTACTCACTGCAAACAGATGAAATTAGTAACAATCTAGAATTTTTTTGTCTAAATACTTAAGTGGATTTTAAAAACTTGATAGAGTTAATTATATTGCACATCCTTAAATTATGACTCAAATTTTAAATTAGTCCTTAAACTTTGAAATTTATCCTCAAATTACGATTCACATCCCAAATCAGTTCCTAACATTTTGAGCATTCTAAATTCATCCCCAGACTTTTGAATGATTTTGGGGGAAATTATTGGAACATTCATAATTTTGGAGACTAATTTAGAATGACCGTTATAGTTCGGCAATGAATGTTGAATGCTTGAAAGTTCGAGACCAATTTAGAATGAGTCATTGTTTGGGGATGAAATTAAAATGTTAAAAGATTCAAATATCAATTTATAGTAAGAATCATAGTTTAGGAACTTATTATATAATTAACTCCTCGATATAACAGCTTGTTAAATGCGTTCCGCTTGTGCTTTGTTTATAACGATCTAAAATGATCGAAATTGTGAATCAAGGAAAAGGAAGAAGTTCGTATGCGTCTCAAATTGTCTAAATACTTGCATAGCCTTGTGCCGTGGTTCGTTTTAGAAGGCACGGTAAATGGTTTATTTAATTCTCTCAATCACGGAGGACTTCATCATTCAAGCCTCGACCTAGGAACAACAAAAATTAGCCCCGGAAAAAAAAAAACCCGAATTAAATCACTGTTCTAGCTTGTCCTAAGCCATTTGCTTTCCCAAAAAGTTCCATGCCTCACAAATTGGAACTGGAGTGCATCCCGGCGATTTTCGACAAACCCGATCCTCGAAAAAACGTGGTTGAAATTTCATCGAATCAGTTCAAGCAAAGGTTGATAAGATGTTCTTCTTGAAAGTGAATTCATCAGCTTTTGAGGGGCTTATTGACTGTCACCAAAGACATAAAACTCATTATTATAGCATATAACGAAAATAAAAACAAACATGGTTTGTGAAGTTAAATTGCTTCTTGACTACCCTAAAAGGTGGGCATCAAGTATGTCCCATGTTAATCCGACTCGTATAGGGTTATCGGATTATTATTCGTACCGATGCCCGAATTTGTGCTTGCATGCCATGAGTTTCTAACACGTAGGGATGAACTGAGGGTAACAGAAGAGCGGTCTCACTTCCAGAAATTTCAAATTTTTATATAATTTAGATATTTTTTATATTTTCTAACGACAATTTAATTATACATTATGAAATTATGTAATTTTATACCTCCAAATTTCTAACATAACCCCGGCATGAAATTCTACATCTATCCCTTCTAATACATATAGTCAAAGAAAAATATAGATTCGAAACAACATTACATAAAACATCGTAGCAATGGAAGAGACGTAAAGTTGTGACTGTCGCACCAGAGAAGCTTAAATTAATTTGGATTTCAAGAACATCCCTTACCTTGTGAAGAATGAGTTGCAGACGTTCAATTTCCTTCTTTGGATAATCGGCATCTTTCTTCTCCAGACATTTTTTAGCAGCTTTCAAGTATATCTTTCCATACCTGACAATCGCCAAAATAGAGTAGTAAGCTCATAACATAAAGAACTTTAAACAAAGTAGGAATTGACAAGAAATTTTCTTTAGGAGATGAATATTAAAGAAACCAATTAAATACCTCCAATCGGAACCCTTAAGCTTCTCGACTTCCTTTTCGATCTTTGAAAAGGCTGCTTGCTTCTCACCGCCGGCAGCAGCCACGAACTCCTTAACCAATGGATCCAAACTTGACAAAATACCAGCCTAAATAAAGACAAGGGGAGAAGAGTCAATGTCATACAGAAGAATTGGTGATGACAAACATGATGTAAACAATGTATACCGTGAGCTACTACTAACCTTTGAATTTAACTGCCCATTTGCATCACGATTGGTGCCACATATTTTATTGATGAAAGCAACAAAAGAATCCAAATCTCTTTCACCATTGTAATCTTCACCAGTTTTGTTGCCCTTGAGAAAGAATTTCAATGTCGGAAATCCGGTTACTTCGTACCTGCACTCATAATGAATACTGCTTAATATGCATCAACAGAATCCCTCCCTTTTATAAAAGAAACCCCAACTTATTGGCTAATTTACACTTACTTTTCAGTTAAATCCTTGTGTTTATCGGCATCTAGATTAGCTATTATTACATCTTCTTCCATTTTAAATGCCGTCGCTACCTTTTCATAGGTCTATACAGACAAAAAATACAAAGGGTACTTAGAATAGTTTACTGCTTCAGCCAACTCTATTAAGCAAAGATATAGATGCTTACAGGGGCAAGGATTTTGCAATGGCCACACCTAGCAGGAAAAAGTTAAAACACATTCAGTAGAAAAAATTGAAGCAAAAGAATTTCACCAGCAAAAATTGTTACGTGCATGAGGAAAATAAACCAAACGCTTACCAAGGAGCATAAAACTCAACCAACACGTCTTTGGTCTCATCAAGGACAACCTCATCAAAATTATCAGCATTTAGCACTACAACGCTGGATGGCACAGCAGCTATCTTCACATTGGTCCCTGCAAAACGATACATGAGCTTAGCAGAATCCTAGTGGGTTTTCACCTTTGTGCATTAATGTACTTTCAGCTAGTCTAGTCACCTCAGAAACACACAAGAGAAAGAAATCAAGGCAGAATTTCACAGATTAAGCAACATAAAAAAGGAACTTCCGAAAAGCGAAACGACTCATGTTACCTCCTTCAATATTCACAAACTCGGTAAGGGCTTCAGCAGTTGGGTGTCCTTCATATCTAGAGAAAACAGTTTTGATGCAGTAAGAGCAATGTTCTAAATAAAATGTTGAAACCAATTACAAAAGCACAAAAACAAGATCAAAACTTTCCAATTTCTACTTCCACAAGTTAAATTAGACTCACCTTTTAGGTTCCAGAGAGCCTTTAGGGAACCATTGAACAGTTGGGTAGCCTTCAACACCATATTTGATGCATAGACTCTTATGCTCATCACAGTCCAACTATACCACATCAACAAAATCTTTCAATATAGCATAATTTTCACAGTTCATATCGGAAACGAAATTCACTGATCAATGATAATTCATATTCGAACAACAAAACCTGTTTAATAATTAACTGCTAACCTTTCCGATCAATAGAAATAGAAAGAAAACTTCATCATATTCATGTAATTATAGATTGATAACCTTTCCAATCAAAACGGATTTAGCATTCTTAAAATTCTGCGCAAGCTTCTCATATTCGGGAGCTATCTTCTGACAGTGTCCACACCTGTGAATCGAGAAAACGATTACGTTGAGAATTGCGATCTAATGTCTTTCTAAATTCAAACCCTTCTTTCTAAAAAAGACTTACAGAAGCTTCAAAATCAGAGGCAGGAGAATTCAAACAAGGAAAACGATAAGAGAAAATCGAACACATTTTCATTTCAATTGCTGAATGTAAGATCTAACGAGAAAACGAGAGAGGAAGCGAGGCGATAGAAAATCGTTACCAAGGTGCATAGAACTCGACGAGAGCTCCTCTGTCTTGACCGACTTCCTTGTGGAAGCTTTCTTCGGTTAGTTCGACGACTTCGGCCGCCATTGTTGATGTCAATAAGAAGCACATCATGGCTCTAAAGGCTAACCATATCTGAGATTTCTCCATTTTCGTTGCGTTAGTTTTCTTCTTTAGATATCAATGATGCTTCGTCTTCGATTATTCTCTGGTTTTCGATATTTATTCCTAGTTCATGGCTTGCCAAACAAAAAATACTATTTACAAGGCCGATTTTAACTGTATTTGTTAGTGTAAATTGTAGAGAAAACTACACCAACTATCACTAATATTTGAGTCGGTTTTAGTTTTTTTCACTGACGTTTCAAAAGTAACAAATTGACCATTATGTTATCGACTTATAGCAAAATGATCATTTCACAGTCATCTACTTAAACCGATGATGTGACAAACTTTAAAAAAGTGGTTAATATATGGTTTTACCCCTAAACTACTGCTTAAACATCATATAGGCCTTCGAACAAGCTTTCTAATTTCTATTTTTTCTAAGCATCCCACCACCTCCCTTACAAAACGACACCCAAATGATTAAAACAAGAGAAAATCTGATACTATTAAAGACATTGAAGTTTATACCGGATTTGGTGGTTACTTGAACCGAAATAAATTTAGAAGATCTTGGATGCCTAGAAGGTGAGTTGTTGGTTTCTTATAAAGTTTGAATTTAGGTCTTCTGTAGAATTTTCATTCCTGGCGCTTTCTAATTTCTCTTCTACCATACTATTGCATTACTATTGTTACAAAACTTTATAATAGAAACTTTGCTTTATCCGCAACGTTCTGGTTTTGACAAGTGATGCTTTAAAAAGATTGGAGGAAAGACGAGTAGCGATACGATTTGTGATTGATCCAAGGTATTCTATAGTCATCAATGCTCGGTATCAAATTTTCTCCAGCTTTCATTATTTGGGTATCGTTTTGTAAGGGAGGTAGTTCGAATATAGTGGAGGCCAGGGGTGTGGATGAGCCAGCGCATAGTGCGCGATAGTGCAGGACCTCAAAAAATAGGAGTCCCGAAATAGAGTATATCTATCGGTTGTTGTCATTAAGAAGTAGAAAAATAGGTATAGAGTGGTGGTTAGAACATTGGGCTCATGGCTTTGTTGATCCTAAGTTTGAATCTTGTTAACAAGTAAAATTATTTTTGAGAAAAACAATGCAAGTGAGCCCCTGTTTTTTAAGTTAATGGAATTAGTCGTTTATTATTTCAGAAAAATAAGTTCGAGATCTAAGGGCCCCTTTACAAGAATTTGCACAGGACCTCCAACAACCTAGCCACGGCCCTGGTGGAGGCGATAGGGTATTTGGAAAAAAATGAAAATTAGAAAGTTTTGAGGTAAATTAGATATACAATCATTGTTAAAGGACCTATTTGATACTTTAGTAGTAGTTTAGGAGTAAAATTAAATATTAACCATTTTTACGTTGCCACATCATCAATTTAGCAAAGATAATGGTAGAATGATCATTTTGTTACAAATCGATAATGTTAGTGACCAATTTATTATTTTTGAAACTCTAATAGGAAAAAGAAAAGCTTATTCAAACATTAGTGACCGCTGACATAATTTACCCTAAATTATATTAATTTCCATTGGACCTTTAGAGTATTTACATTTTAATCACTAAAATCGAAAAAATAGCTTAGGTCAATTTTTCTTATATACCTAAATTTGATTTTCATCACTTTGATACTTAAATTATCATTTCGTCCCAATATGAATAAAAATTTAACCATATTAAAAAAAAGTTGACAATGTCAGCCAATGATAGAGCACCACGTATCTATTCATCCGTGTTATGAAAGAGTTATTTGTCACATTCAACATTCTTATCATCGAATATTGTATCGGCATTAACTTAGATACCAATGGATTTGGTTTGTGGGCTAAATTGATTTTTCTTTATTACAAGGGGTGAATTGAGTATTTAACCCTTAAAAATAATATAACTTTTACACGTGGTTATGATATGGAAGCTAATTGACAAAACTACAATACTATCGATTTGCTGCCACAAGTAGATTTTACAGATCCAAAACCAGCATACATCGAGTTTTTTTTTTTGTGAAACAGAATACATCAAACTTACAAACCCACTAAGGGACTGGTTCAAACAGTTTGATGAATTTTTCCTCAAGTCCGGCGTGATGAGATGGAATCGGAGTTTGGGACATCCGAACACGTTTCTTGGATCGTTACCTTACTTGATATACTGAGACATCCATTTGAAGCCATCGCCGTATCCCATTTTGCGGACAATGCTGCACATAAACACCTCTAGCGGACGGACATTTGAGTCGGCTAGGTTTACTTTGCCCTTGCCGGTGGTAAAGTTTGTGAGCCCGAGATGGTAACGTAACTCGTCCTCTGAGGCGGCATACGGTATATCGATCTTGTTTCCTAGAATAAGAAACGGCACATTGGCGAGGGACTCATCCGAAAGAAGTGCGTCGAGTTCCTTCCTTGATTCTGCAAACCTCTCTTTATCATAGGCATCTACCAGGTACACCACAGCATCCACCTGAACCCAGAAAACACACAGTTCACAGTATTCAGTCAAGACCGGACAGCCCATTGCATCTAACGAGCAACAATAATGACAAACACGCACGGTAGAAAACAAATCAAAGTGAAAAGGTAGCATCGACGGGATGTAGTAAAAACACCATTTGAACCCAATTGTATCCGGAGAATGTCGCTTGAAAGCATTGATCATACTGATAGCAAACCACCTACAAATACTTCACGATACAACCTTAGCATTCCAACTGGCAATTATAGACCACAACATTCAAAAACCAGGCAGTACTGGAAAATGTAGGATTGGGAATAGGGAAAGAAAACCATCCCATGCTTCACAGAGAATTTATCATTTCTGTGTTTTTCGTACTATCTGGTTTCGAAAAATCCACTCCATTTCAAGCAACAGCTAGCTATAAAGTAGAAGAATGCTACAGCGGCACAGAGCACACTTGGCCATCTTCCCAAAATGAAATACATTGAAGATATAGTTTAAGAATGAAAAGAAGGGCAACTATTTACAGCAGACTAAAGTCACTGAAAATTCATGACCATAAAGAAATCCGTTAAGAAGCTCAATGAAGATTGATCAGGCCCAAAATCAGGAGCGAAACATATGAACTCAAAGACATTTCGGTTATCTAAACATTCATTTGAAATTCCAAGAAGAAAATATTAAACCGGAAGTTTGTTTAGATGGCATGAAAACAGAACAATTCAAATAAACCCAAAAGAAAATCACATATCAGTCATGATGACTCGTGAAAACAAAATCCCAACCATATATGAATCATTGCAACTTATCTAATCATCAAACGACGTCAATTGCGAGGTATTCGAGTACAACATCTATTGCCAAAAAATGTAACAAAATCGAAAAGTGAACAAGAAGAGTCAAATAGTCAATAGAAACCTTAAACCTTTAAACCATCATAACACATAATTGGCCAATTAAGATTGCAACACCATTAGAGATGAATTACAATAACAAAGATTTCAGCTAACCTCGTATCGCCGAAACTAATAAGCACGAAACAAGAATGATCATTGAACCAAAAACCAAACAAATGTCAAGGCAAAAGAAAGGGGCATTAGTTTGAGCTATTGGTTTACCTTAGCATAGTAATCTTTCCAGACTCTGCGAGCAATCTGATGACCACCCAAGTCGAAAGCTTTGAACTTAATTTTCCCAATACTGAGTTCTTCCGATGTGGGGTACTGAGTTGGCTGATGCTGAACCAATCTCTGGAAACAGTTCACTACTTGATCAACATCGCTAATTACCCATTTTTCCATTCAAAAGTTAAAGAAAATCGAAGGATTAAAAGGGTTTAACTTTAATCTCTAGCACTGAAACAATCATAATAACCTAAAAATTTAGACAAACAAAGAGATGGACAGGATCCAAAGTTATAAACTTCCAAGTAAAATTGTTGGTGAAAAAACATAATTGGATGATCGGAGAGAAACGGGAAAAATGCTTAAAATGGGAATAAAAGAACGAACCTCGTCTTTCAACATATGGAGCAAGGTGGTTTTACCGGCATTATCGAGGCCGAGAAAGAGGATCTTAGCCTCTTTCTGCCAGAGGCCGAGGGAGGCAAGAACGCCGTAGAACCAATCGATAAGAAACATAGTGTTATTTTTTAGGGTTTGGGTTTTGGATTTCGACAAGGAATTTGTGACCGACAATGAGTGGAAGAGGGAAAGAGTAGTGATCAAGGCCTCGGTTTTCTCATCATCATCATCATCATCATCATAACATAAAAATACAAGCAAAAATAAAGCAGAGCTGACAAGTAGATTTGGTAATCCTGACTTGTAATGGTACATTTTTCTTACCGTCATTTTTGTAAGGTTAAATTGTGCTACACTTCCTGTACTATTATTATATTTGAAATTTCATCCTCCTGGTTTTGTTTTTAAAAATCTAATCACTCTGTTTTTCACAAAAACTCAAATTCAATTAGTAATACCTTTTAAAAATTTTATGTTAAATTCATTAAGGGATATTTTAAAAAAAATTAATAGTGTAACAACTAATCTTAAATTTTTAAATTTAAATGATAGAAAGACTAAATTTCAATTATACAAAGGCTACATGGACTTGAGTGGGCCTGTAAACGAACCGAACAGAGCGTTTAACGAACCGTTCATAAACCATTTGACGGGAAGTTCATTTATTTATTAAACGAATGAACATAAACAATATTTTATATTCACTTAATTAAATGAATGAACACGAACGAAAGACTCGTTTGTTCATTTACGTTGTGAACGTTCGATAATCCGTTCATTTATGTTCTCCAAACCCGTTTGAAATATAAAGACTTGATAAAATTTTAACCTTAAACCCATTAATAATTTTAAACTCAATTAATTTTAAACCCAAATAAAAAGTACTAAAATCGATTAAAGAAAATATAAATCATAAAATTTTTGGGGAAAAAACTCTTCTTAAATATAAACCCAATTAATTTTATGTTCGTTTTTGTTTATGTTCATTCGTTTACATTTGTTCATTTGCGTTCATTTATCATTTAAACGAACGAACACAAACAAGCTAAATTTCTTAATGAACGAACATAAAGAAAATTTCATTCGTTTATTCGATTAAAGTTAAACGAACGAGAATTCGTGTTCATTTGGTTCATTTACATGCCTAGACTTAATACATAGTGTTTGACAAATATTTACTAATATCCTTAATATGAGTTATTGTTCTCTCGTCGATAAAATGTATAACGTATTCCTTTTATATTTAAAGACCTAATAAGATGCGAACGTTATTATTCTTATGATTTTTTGGGGTATAGGTTTAATATATACATTTCGTGATTTAAGAATAATTAGAATATTTTATTTATCTTTTAATAGAGAATATTTTAATTAGCTTCGGGGAATATATCCCATGATATGAGTACTATATAAAAAAATAAAGAGGAAATAAAAAAACAATTATTGTATATTTATTTTACAAATCTACAAGTTGAAATTAACAATTACGAGATTTGCCATCTTTCTTCTTCACAATAAAGGAAATCCCGCGTTGACTCAACAACGTTTATCTCGAATTGGAATCAAATTTCAGTATCTACAACTCATTTTATACCTTGTCTTCATCTTCTTCCTCGCTGATTGTTTCATCAACATGATCCCGTCTACAAAGCAAGACAAACCCTAGCCAAAGGAGAGCTTTAGCAACCCTAACCATGCCGATTGTGACGGTCAGGTAATATATCCACCAACCCAGAAAATCGGCCATTTCAATGTCCATCGACAGCTCCTTCTTAGCTTCCACCACAACCACCAATGACTCAACTTCATCCCTCAGCTTCCACCACCACAACGTACCCGCCGCCACCGCGATTGCGGTCCTATAAACCCACCTCTCTTCACTAACACATCCGAAGATCGAGTCATCCGCCACCGGTTTCACCACCGTTCTGAACCAAACAAGAATGATCTCATGCAAACCCAAGAAGAAAATCATTCTACTAAAAAAACTCCTTTTCACGCCGAAACCGGCACCGTCGACTCCTACCGCCACGCTTCCTTCGATCCCCAGTCCGACGGAGACTTGCACGACGCATAAAACAATCCAAGCAATGTACAAACGGAGCCGCCGACGATGAGTGGTGGTATCCGTTGACTCGGTTACGAAGCTGAGTTTCCCAGTCAAGCCATGCGCGAGAGCGGCGATGCTGACGGACGTGATGAGTAGGTAGATAAGAGCTGGATTGGTGTAGAAGTAGAAAGACCAGAGGAAAGAAGGCGTCGAAGGGTCCGACACGGTGGCGTTTAAGACGTAATTGACGAAAGAGAGCCTGGCGACGAGGAGGAATGCAAGTGGGAGCCAAAGGCTGAGGAGGAGGATGGCGAGCAAGTGAAAGGATTGTTTCATGGTGGGAGAAATGAGGAATTTCCCAGATTTCTGATATAAATTCTTCCACCATAACTCCATTTTTTTCACTCAAGAGATGTTGGGAAGATCTGCTTCTTTATAAGAAAGTTTATATAAATCACATTTATGTCATTAATTTGTGGGTTTTGAATGAAAAATAAAGGTTCAAGAGTTGTTGCCACGTCCATACGTTAAATTAGTTGACACAAAGACATGATATCTTATTCCATATAAATTTATAATTTGTGGCATCCATTTGTATTATGAACTCATATAATATTAACTATAAAAAAGTATTTCATGTAATGGTGGTCAAAAAAATATTTTATAAGCAAAGTATAATATTATCATGGGTTTTATTTTAAATTTATGACTTAAGATATAAAATTTAGAGTTTAAAAATCTTTTGGAAGGCAGGTAATGACCCGTAATAAGTGATATCAAAGTGATTTTTGACTGTTTAATTTCCTTTTTAACGTCCTAATGGGTGTAGTAGGTATGATGGACAATTGTGACAATATCTCATAATAACACTCTCATCACAAGATTAAATGAGGGAGAATGTTACATTTTGAATAGGGATGGCAACGGGTCAGGTTCGGGCCGGGTATTGGTCTCCCGTCTCCAACTCCGTTTAAAAAACTGCACCCGTCCCCGCTTAAAAACCGCAGGGATTTAAACGGGGATCCACATCGGGTAATCGGGGAAAATTGTGGGGAAACGGGTATCCCCGTTTAGCATAAACGGGTATCCCCGTTTAGCATAAACGGGTATCCCCGTTTAGTATAAACAGATATCGGGCCGGGTATATATATATTTAAATTAAATATATAAATATTATATATATATATATTATTTAAATTTAAATTAAATTTATTAATATTATATATATATAAAATAATTATTTTTAATATTTATCGGGACTGGTAATCGGGGCGGGGATTACCAAACTCATCCCCATTCCCGTTTAGCATAAACAGTTTTTTCCCGTCCCCGTTTAATTCGGTTTTCGATTTTCCCCATCGGGTTCGGGTTTTTTTGCCATCCCTAATTTCGAACACACAAAAACATTGACCTTAAATCAAAAAGGAAAGATGTCTTGAAAATTTAAAAATAGTTAAGCTGTACATCTTACCATATATATATATATATATTAAGAAGTGAGTATTAATTTCATGAAAAATATTTGAGTTAAAACTTAAATCATTTAAAAAATAAAAATAATATTCATGTTCGTAAAATATTTATTTTCAGTGTCGTTGCAAGGAGTAATACATAATTAATTATATTTAGATTGCGAATTACCTAAACGTATCGCCGGTCTGTTTGGGTATACGTACCCAGAAAAAGAAGGCAAAGTCAACTCCAAAGAAGTCATTCAGGTCCGGTTTATTAGACATAGAGAGGACAAAGGTTAAGTTAATTTATCTTAATGATTACTTAAGCATTTGGTTACACGTACCTAAACTGATTGATATATCTCTACCACCACTCGGACTGCCGGTTACCATGGAACTATATTATACATAAAACCATGCTTTCAATCAAAATAAAATAAAATAAAGCCATGCTTGTCCCGTTAACAATGTATACATATAAACACACATTAATATAATATTTGCAAGCTAATTAGATCCCAAATGTCAAATTTCTCAAACAATCAATGGGGATTAGGGACCATTATAATATGACTATATAAATTAAATTAAATTAAATTAAATTAAATTAGACAATAACTGTAGTCATTGTTTGATGGAATTCAAATCGATTGAAACAAAAGTTGAAATGTGAAATTGTTTTAATACTTAAATATTTTTAACTGACGTCTGTATTAAATTTTATATTTAAAAAAAGAAAGAAAATGTGTTGCGTTTATTTTTATGTTAGGTTTTATATATGTTGTTATCCAAATAAATTTATTCCCAATTTCTTAATTGAACATATCCACTTGAGTATACAAATACGATGCCCTTTGGCATACCAAAACAGACTTGGAAACAAATGCCAAGAAAAGAAGTGAAATTTATTGTATGATGGTGAAAAAAGGATAACCAAAAATGGATCAGACAAGTCCCGAGGAGCTTCGACCGGTGGACCGATGGATCAGACAGTAAGAGATGAAGTTCGAAAAAGTTACCAAATCTTGCTGATGGAGGTTTTTAGTTTGGAATTACAGAACATGCAATGCAGGAAAACTTCTTTGTGTGTTTGGTTTTAGATGCTTTGTTTCAGAGTCACACGGCGGATGGCTGCAGAAGATTTAGGCCGATAATGCTCGTCCGTATCCAATTCTTCGATTTCCTGTTCAAGTTATTGCAGAACACAATTAATATAATCTAAGTGCAACTTTTAGGTAGGATAATGGCAAAACATGTTCAATGTGCCCAATCATGAGTACTGATTAATGATGCTTGTTACCTGAACAATATCCTCTCCCTTAACGACCTTCCCGAAGACGGTAAGCTTCTCGTTTAGATCTGGGATTGGTGCAGTTGTGATGAAAAGCTCAAATGCACCGTTTTCATGCTTTGTCTTAGAAGTTCCAAGCATGAATGCTTCATGCTTCACACTGGTTGAACGTCAGAATTTTAAGTTACAATAAATAGCAAATGCTTGCCTGTTGACAGGATGGTAAATCAGTGGAGGATTAGTAAGGGGTCCAAATTAGTTTAATCACCGATGTACTAACCTGGTATCGAGTTGGCTATAATGTTTTCCTTTCAAAGTCCAGTCCTCTGCAGCTCCCAGCTTATTGCTATCGCGGCATGAATGACAGTGCTTTATAACACGGTGAAAGATCATTCCATTGAAGTGCCCTCCCTGACTGCACATCAGTTAAAGTCATGGTAAGTGAGGATGACTTCCAGATAAGCTTCTTGTTCCTTTACACAAACTAGATGGAGCCTCCTGCATCAATTCCTTTAAATGAATTTGATGTTTAAACCGAACACTCGGCATGAGGCTTACAAACTAAAATGACAATAAGTTTTCATGCTGCCTTAATAAGTATGACGCACACTTCTCAACCAACAAAATCAAAATCATGACACCAAAAGAGATGGCAGTTATGGATAAAAGGAAATGTGATTCACAGAAAATGATTTAGTGTGAGCTTGAGTATCTTCTTCTCCCCACCCATCCTTCCTCCCTTGTTGAAACATCCAAATCCATCTCCCATGAACCTCAAAATTGCAGGTACACTTATTTTTTTATTTGCTACTAATATTATTATTATTATTTATAAGAGAAAAAAATAAAGGATTTATAAGAGATGGAACTTAAAATTAATGCCAACTGAAAATTTGATATAAATTTTTTACCAAGTATAGAAATCAAGTTTAAAAATAATTTGTCATAAACTACAAACTAAAAAAATTAAGAATATAACGAAGTTATAATTAATTTAAACTTTTATTGTATCATTCAAATTCAATAAATTTTGATTCAGTTTAATCTTATAAAGAGAGATTATTATTTTTTTGAAAATTTATTTTGAATTCGATTTAATTTTAGAGTTAAAGATATTGATTCGATTCAAAAAATAATATAATTATCTATTATATATATAGAGAGACAATTACAATAATACATCTCTATACTCCTTTTCAATTAGGAGCATATTTTACTTAAATCTTATATACATATTTTAATGTCAAGTCGGGTACATATGTTTACTCCAAAAATTAGGTGAGATTATGAGTCAAGTGAAGTCTCTCTTAACTCGAATTGAATCAAGTGGCGGTTGAGAAAAAAGTTCTAAAATTTACTAAAAATTCTACCCGACCCATATCCATTCCTAATCATAACCCATATCCATTCCTAATCATGTCTGATTACATTCCCAACTCGAATTCTAAATATTATTTCACAATTTATTGGTTGGTTTTGAGCAGTGGTGCTGCGAAGGTCTACGAGTCCATAACAGGACGTCTTCAGTAAACTAATCAAAGACGTCCAAAACGACTCCGTCCTAAGGTTGAACCATTATCCTCCTCTCAAGACTTCAAAACCATGCAAAGACGACGACGATGAAGTTGGATTCGGTGAGCATTCCGACCCTCAAATCCTCACCATTTTCCGATCCAACGATGTCGACAGCCTCCAAATCTCTTTGCCTGATGGGTTTTGTAACCCAGTCCCCCCGATCCCTACCAATTCTGTGTCATCATCGGTGATGTCTTGCGGATGAATCCATTTACTGCTTTAAAAGCCTGATTATATGACATGATTTTGACTTGCTCGATATGCCTGACGTGAGTGTGAGGTTTTAATAAATGGAAGAATTACGAGCGTGAGACATAGGGCAATGGCAAACTCATCTCGGATTTCAAGACTGTTGATCATGTACTTTGGAGCGCCTCCTCTCGACACAACCATCCCCCTCTATCGGAATTGGTCTCACCAGCAAATCCAAGCCTCTTCAAGCCATTCACTTGGGGTAACTATAAGAAAGCTGCCTACCCATTACGCTTGGGGGATTGCCGTCTTGACCATTTCAAGGCTTCATTCAACCAATGATATCTCAATTTTCTAATTAGTAATATGAATTATGCAGAAATGAATTTTTATCTCAACCTTAAACAAATGCAATCTAAAAACGAACAAATGTATCTTTTTTCCAACTATCAAGATAAGAAACATGAGAGAAGCTGAAAATTTATCAATTATTCTTATACTACCGAGGTAACGAATGACAATGTTTGCAAGAAACAAGGAACATGGAAAACTAAAACATTTTAACGGAGGTGGAAACATCGATAGTTCCAAAAGGGGCCGGCATTAGTGAGATAGAAAGGTCATCTAAGCCTGCAATTGTGTGTAAAATATCAGAATAAGTGAATAGAAAGTATGAGAAGCAGAAGAAGTTCAAAGACTACAATCAGAGGCATCTGCATGAGCTTACCTTGTTTGCAATGTTGTTTGAGAGCCAATCCAGTCCTTCGTACAGTCCTTCACCAGATGTGGCGCATGTGCTCTGGATATACCTGCGAAAACATATTATGTGGAAAAAATGTAAAGATCCACAAAAGAATGGAACAACACAAACACACACAGAGTGAAAAGAATAGTTCGTATCACCAGTGGCGCTGGCGGAGGGAATGAAGGCCAAGTTTGTCGGTGATCTCAGCTGCATTCATTGCATTTGGAAGATCTTGCTTGTTAGCGAATACTAACAGCACAGCATCCCTCAACTCATCCTGCCAAATCATAAGTTAGATTTGTGATCATTGGAATCATAACACCAGAAACAAGAATCTCAAGTTCAAGTACCTCATTCAACATCCTGTGCAACTCATCTCTAGCTTCAACCACACGGTCACGATCATTGCTATCAACCACAAAGATAAGTCCTTGCGTGTTTTGGAAATAATGTCTCCACAATGGTCGGATCTATGTAGAAAAATAAAGCAAATAGTTCAGCTAAATAATTAAGACAAATAAAACAACCGATAAAAAAGTATTTCATCGTTCCAACAAATCTAACAAGATCCAAGTTAAACTAAAAACATAAGGTTCAATCATGATTCATGACCATCCTAATTATCCCCAACTCATATAGTAATGTGTTCTCTCCTTTAACAGAACTGCACATACATTGATGTTATCAAGATACTTAATTGGTGACTGAATATGCAAGACAATAAAAATCCCACCCATATAATCAACCATTCTCTGCCATAAATAATATTATTTCCAAACTTTGCAATTAATATTAACATTTTTGAAAAAAAAACAAAACCATATTACCTTGTCCTGGCCACCAACATCCCAAACAGTGAAGCTGATGTTCTTGTATTCAACGGTCTCAACATTGAAACCTACACGATTATAATATATAATAGTTAGTCAAATCCTTCTTTGAAACAAAATTCGTCAGGTTAAAAAATAAAATAAAATATAAAAGGCAAAAAAAAAACGACCTACCGATGGTGGGAATGGTAGTAACAATTTCTCCCAACTTCAGCTTGTAAAGAATGGTGGTTTTACCAGCAGCATCAAGACCAACCATCAGTATACGCATCTCCCTTTTGGCAAAAAGCCGGCTGAATAGCTTTGTGAAAGACAGCCCCATTTTTTCACTTCTGCCAAAAACACCAATATCCACATCAAATTCCGATGACCATCGATTTAATCTGAAAATTCAAGATCAGAGCAGATCCGAAGGCCAGAATTCGGGAGCAACATAAGTTCGTTCGAGGAACAATTGCAAATCAAACAGGTCTGGATTGGACGAAATCAGCGTATAACAAGTCTAAATCCGATCTATTGCAACATGAAATCAATTCGGGAAAAAATGTAGATCGACGAACACTAACGAACTTACGACGCTTCCAATACTCAGATCAGATGGAACCACGCAACGAATTTGAAGATTCAAAAGATTCTAACAAACTTTCGAATCAAAATTAGAAGAAAATTAATTGAGAAATTAAATCTAAACAGAAAGAGAAAGTGATCAAACTTGCCTGAGAAAAATCCGCAGCTGTTAGTACGCGTGGTTGAACTTGGACAAAGATCTAATCGAAGGAGTTAATCAGATTTGGGTATTTATATATCCAAACATGATCTTAGCTTGACAATTATGATTTTAGTATCTAAACTATCAATTTTAATCTTTTTTAGTATTTAACTTTTCACTTTTTTTAAATCATACACTAAAACGGACCGAAACTAATAATTTAGATACTAAACATATTAATTTTTTACAGCGGAGTACTAAAATCAAACAAAAACTAAATATTAGGTATGATTTTTAAAAAAATAAAAGTTTAGGTGCTAAAATAGACCAAAACTGATAGTTTAAGTATTAAATTCATAATTTACCCATACTTTAAATATAATAAACAAGAATTTTAAATTACGTTTACATATTTTATATTTAATTAAATCTAAACCCGATTGAATTAATTTTTACAACCATAATCATATAAATGCATTACTCGTTATTATAATTATAACTTTATAAATTAGTATGGTTCTAATCTTAATCATAGGAAATGTGACATTGTTTAAAAAAATCGAACCTATAACATTTTTTTTATAAATCTGAAGTGAATACATGTTCAAAAATTCTTAATCATTTAACAATTAACGCTTATACTCCTGCAAACACGATTTTTGAACACAAAACCTCAAGGATAACAATAATCCTTTAATTACTAGAGTCGTTTGATTTGTGCAACCTCAATTTATTTTAAAATTTAGCCTACAACATCTTAAATATTTAAACAGTAACAATATAACCTTCAATCCATAGATTTTTTTTTTAAATTCGAGTTGAGTGACATGTAAAAAAATAGAATACTCAGATTAAGCTCGAATCAATTAAAACTATATCGAATCTAACCATGATGGCATAGTTCCATAGATGATGTTTCTAGAAGTTATTTTAACATGATTAAAAAAGTGAAAGCTGTAGTATTTGTGAAGTGTCAAGTAAAAATGTGTAGTGGGTGAGCCATCCTCAACAATTCCCACCAACATCTCCAAATAATATTGTTTGGTGACGTCCCATTGATTCTCACCTCTCTCTTGTTTACAGTGTGAAGAGCGACATCAAAGCACAGACACTAATTGTTGAAGGAACAATGGAGTCCGAGAAGCTGTTATCATATATTAAAAAGAAAGTGCAGAAACATGCAGAGATTATTAGCTCAAAACAGTGGAGGTGAAAGAAGAGAAGAAGGAGGAGGAGGTTGTTATATATTTGAGGAATTATTGGAAGTTGAATTAAAGATCGAGAGCGATCGATATGACACAGAATTCGAGGTAATACATCACTTTTCATGCTTTATGGAACATGATGGTATTGGTAAATGCATGAATGAAAATGTTTGGTTTTATCTGGATAGTTAATTAATTCTTACACTTGATACGAATGTGGTAAAAAGTAGGTAACTGAATATGAATCAGATGACTAATATAAGAAATTTGATGACAGTTGGAATTAAATTACAAGTTCTGTGAAGTGATAAAGCAATCATTTCTAGTTCATAGATTATCTGAGAAAGCAATTAACCTTGGAATCTCTAGATTATAATTATATTTGTTAAGAGTTTTAACACCGAAATGACATGGTTAAGAAATTGCAAAAAATGCCCTTGAGAGGTAAAAATAGTTTGAGTTGACTATGAATGAAAAAGTACCCTAAGAATTCGTACCTAACCCGATAAATTACAGATTTAATTGTTAAGATCCTACTTTTGTTCAGAAAAAACTTTGATAATCCTAAATCTCCGAGTTGTGAGTAAATACGTGAAGAATAATTTATCGAAGATGCTCCTTTGTCAGAATTGTTTGAAAAGACTGAAATATATGATAAGTTTGAATTAAATAATGAAATGATTGAATACCCTATATAAAATGACCAGATAACCCGGAATGAAATGGAATATAAGCCAAAATGATTGGATATCTTCAATCTCTGATGACTGGAATAACATTGAGCACCAAAATGACCAAAATACCATGGCCTAGACTAAGTAAATGTCTTGGATTAATTAAGGAATCCAAATAAACATGGGTGTTGTACTACCCTTAAAAGTTATGGAACACAACTTAAGTGAGTCGATCAACACTAATGATATATCAATACCTGGCATATATATCATTTGAATGATTGTTTGTCTTCTCAAGTTTGGATCGATGATAATTATGGAAGTACTCAGCTCAACTCAACTTAGACATTCGATATTAAGAAATGGATATTCGTTAGACAAATCAGCCACAAATACCAAATTGAACTGAACGAAAGTACAATATGTATTGAAATTCAGAAACGTCCGAATTTCTCTAGAAAACTCTAAAGTAACCAGGATAGAAGTGACTACTAAATGAACTAAGTAACCTCAATGACTGAGGATTAAGTAAGTGATTTGGATAAGTTTGGAAACTCGGATGAACTTACATGGTGTATCATCCCTATGGGTTATGAACCAAGAATTAATTACATCGACAATTCCTGATGTTGTTGCAATGTGGAAATGAAATAAAGACCATTGTAATATCTGTTTGTTTCCTTAAATCTATTCAGCGATGATTCTGAAGATGATCTACGGACAAGAATTGTATTAAAGAGTGAATACCCTGGAAGGGTAATGAATTGACCAGTAGACAAGCATCAGTTTTGGGAGTTGTTTGATAATCCGAGCGATCAATATAAATGGTAATTGTCCTGAAACTTAGTTTCTCCCTTATCAGCTCAAATCACTCCGGTCATTCCTGAACACTTTCCTGATGCACATGAAACATAGTAGGGATTCTAAAGTATCAACTTTAAATGGCTGATTAGATCAGTTAGTAATTGATTCTTTTCAATATGACTTCGTTCCTGGAATTTGATCAAATGACATCAGTTTCATGTTATCCATTCTGATAATTACCAAGTGTCTCTGAAAAATACTTGCCCTCTAATGTGTTCCCTATGTACTACGTAATTGGTTTATCTGTTTGAAATGTGGTACACCAAAATCTATGGTTTACTGTTTTATTGATGCACCGACTTACTGGTGATGGCTTATGGACTATGATTGTTATATGATTATTGGTTTTCATTGATATATGATAACGATGATTATAGATTTATGGAAATTCTGCTTACTGTACAAATTGTATCTTTGAGATACCGATTTTGGATAGGACTGGAATATGGAGGTACAACTCTGATCAAGTTGGTAAATCTTTACGGACCTAATATGACTCTTGGGTAGGCTCTACGGCCCCGAGATCATTCTTTGGTACGCCCTGCGGCCTTGGGATTTTTCTTGGGTAGGCCTCGTGGCCCTGAGATCATTCTTGAGTAGGCCTTGCAGCCCTGAGATCTTTCTTGGGTAGGCCCCTTGGCCCTGAGAATTTTCTTGGGTAGACTCTGAAGCCCCAACATGCTCCCTTAGGTTGGTTCCCTTTACTGTGTGCTTAGAGTAAGCCCTTATAGATGCATTTATGGGAAACTGCATAATGGAATATAGTTGGAGGGTTTCACTATGGTTTAAAAGATTTATATATTTTCATTGGTTTTGATTGGAACATACTAGACATCCTATTCGATCTCCTAAAAACGTGATACTATGAATGCTTCCTATGAACTGAGATCTTCATGGCTTATACTCGATGAACTACTAGTGGAACCCCAGATTATCCCAAAAACCGGTATAAGTCTGATTCAATAAGGTAATTATATGGCTTCTCATTTATCTGCATGTCATGTAGCATCAACTGGTAGTATTGTATTACTGAGCTTCCCAAAACTCACTCAATTACTCGCATTTTCAGGTTAAAAGAATCGTACGAATGCACATATCGACATTAGTAAGTGAGTTCTTCCGGCGTTGTTTGCAAAGTATGGTACATGTGATTAGGGGCATGTAGGTTGTATTTTGTTTTTTATATATGAGTCTGAAAAGTTGGTTTATTTCATAATACTGGAAAGGTTTACTTTTGTATTTATAAATGATTTAATGAGTTTTACATGTTTTAATAAAAGTTTTAAATTTTCTGAGATTTTTACGATGAGTTACTCCGGTGGCCCTAATGTGACACCTCAGATCGGATCGGGTCACCCGCATCGGTCGGTGGTTGTTACAACCTAATTAGTAGCTTTGGATGTTTAGGCCATATAATATAAGTATATGATTAACTAGTGTGACTACCCATGATCTCTTATGGACCAACTTTGTACCATTAAAGGAAAATTGTAATAGAGAATGAAAGATGAATTTTATATAATCTATTCTGTGAAAGGTTGAGAGTTTAGGGTTATATATTTTAAAATTGGGTAGCATCTACTTACATTATACAAAACTAATAAGTTTTACATTAATTTATAGTCATTAGATTTAAATAAATAAATATTTTAAATTTAATTAAAAATTATAATCCATAAATAAATATCTTAACTCAAAGTAAAATAATATATCTTTTTATCCTAAACTTAAACCCTAAACCCTAAAACCTAACTACTAAATCATAGACCATAAAGTTGAAATCTTAAACCCAATTCTAAAAAGAAAAAATATTATTATATTGTGAGTTAAATAAATATTTATTTATGAGTTATAAATTTTAATTAAATCTAAGTTATTTATTTATTTAAATCTAATGACTATAAATTAGTGTAAAACTTATTAGTTTTACCTAATGTAAATGAATCATATAGATGATAACCCTTTAAATTTATGATTTATTTTAAGAGACGAAAATTCGAACAATGATATATAATGATGTCCCCATCTAACTTCTGAAATATTTTAGGGCTGGAGTTTCTTTTTGTGTTTGATCAATCTTTGGGTTCGAGTTTCTTTCGGCTTTTGTTCAATCCTTGGATTTGATTGGTTATCTTATTAAAATTTGGGCTTCAAAAGGTTTGGGTTTGAGTTTGGTATGGTTAGAGGAGGGGTGTTTAAAGTTAGGTTTTAATCGAATTAACTGATCGAATAAAAAAATTCAATTAATCGATTGGTTAGCAGTTAATTTTTTTTAAACTTTGGTTATTGATTAATTCAGTTTGAAATCAATCAATTAACCGAAATTTAAATATTTAATATATCATATATATTATTTATATATTAAAAGTATTTAAACTTCGGTTTTAATTAAATTAACCGACCTAATTACTGAAACATTAAATATATAATATACATTATTTATATGTTATTCCTTGAGGACAATGTAAATTATTTAAATATTATGGGCTACTTTGTTACTATAAAACTAATTTAACGGACCGAATTAACCGAATTTTTCGACAATGTAAATATTGTGGGCTAATTTGTTACCATGCAAATTCTTTAAAGGAATTGTTGTTATTCCTTGAGGACTCGAATTCGAGCACCATAAATGCCAGAGGTGTGAGCGTTTAATGTTGAAAGGTTGAGAAATTTCTTTGAACAAATATTGTCTTGTACTAATCTTAAATTAATAATAATGAAAAATACCATTTTGTCCTCCCTTTAGAAGTTACCGGTATACTGATTGAGATAATATTGCTTTGTGGAAGGATGAACCAACCATTTGTGTAGGCTACCTTTAAAAGGTTATATTAGTGTTATTAGGTCATAATCATGTTGGTTAGTTCGGCCATGGAATTTCTGGTTGAACTATAAAATGACAAAGTTGTTTGTTCGAGTAATCGTGTTTGTTTGTGCTTTATTCATTGTCTGGTTAGCATGGATAGAAGAGACAAGAAGTGAAAGAAAGTTCCGAGTTTCTGATGCCCAAAAAGTAAAATACAATCCGTCTTTATTCGACACTACACGATGAACCCTAGGGGAAGGATTTTCTGGCTACATATATCTATAGAGCTACTCCACACTGTCTAAACAGACAAAACACAAAGACAATGACAAAAGAGATGTGATAAACGTGACATAAAACGGAACATCCTACATTGATATTGCACATATTGATCCCACCGCATGCATGCTCGTAGGCCATCAATCCAGCATGGATAGAAGAGACAAGAAGTGAAAGAAAGTTCCGAGTTTCTGATGCCCAAAAAGTAAAATACAATCCGTCTTTATTCGACACTACACGATGAACCCTAGGGGAAGGATTTTCTGGCTACATATATCTATAGAGCTACTCACACTGTCTAAACAGACAAAACACAAAGACAATGACAAAAGAGATGTGATAAACGTGACATAAAACGGAACATCCTACATTGATATTGCACATATTGATCACCACGCATGCATGCTCGTAGGCCATCAATCCCATTGGCGTTCACTGTCAATTAGGTTCAGACAGTGATTCATTTGATGGGGTTCCAAGCGTGAGCATGCTGGAAATAGTAGAGCTCGTTCTCGGAGATGCAGCTCCAGCATTTCGAATTCACCGACCGGAAACTTGGCTCTCTCGGGATCGTTAAAGGCCGGTTCGATCTGCACGTTCGAATTATTATTTATTATATATTTCATATATCATTTTTTTCTTGTTATGTTACATGATTATACCTTTGAGGGAAGAAGGGCCTGTCGAAAAAAGGCATGAGTTGCGCTTTTGGAACCATCTCCTTCCTTAGTGAACGGATCTCTTCGTCCTCGATCATCTGTCACGCCACTCGTTAATGTCATTAATCTCATTTTAAAGATATAAGATACATTAATCTCATACCAAATAAAAATAAAATTTTGAAGTTTAAAAACGATAACGTCGCGACATATCTTTGGGGAGAGTTAACGTAACTATGAGTACACTAGTCGAATGATATATCACCCTTTTAGTCTTCTTTTATTACCTTTTGCACTTTCTCCACTTGTCTCTTCTGTACCTCCGATAGATAGAACTTAGTAGCCACCTGATTAATTGAATATATAATGATACGATAAATTATACACCGTTAATATTAATTGAACGTATAATGATACGATGAATTACATACGGAATAATTGAACATGGCACGCTTAACAGCTCTTTGTCCAGTGTGAAGCTTAAATTCTTGTGGCCTTGTATTTTCCTTGGCCGGAGGCTTTGGTGTAATCTGTTCATATAAATTTACCTTATTTTATTTCTAAACACAAAGACCAGTGTAAATTAATATACGGATAAGATAAATGCGTTAATTACTTTGGAATTTTTGTCTCTCACCTGCTCTTTTGTCTGCCAAAAAGATATATATAAAAAATTAGAAATAATACATATACGAAATAAAAAAAATATTTACTCATTCATTTTATTTAAACTAAATCACCTAAGTGGCTAAAAATCACAAAACGAAGTTATTTTATTGTTAACTCATGTACTCAAACGATAGTACTACGACGAAATAAACTATATACTGACTTTGAAGTAAACTTAAACGGAAATGAGCAAGAAAGAAGACGAAAGAAACGGAGTATCGAAAGACATGAGACGAAGGAGATGACCTTGAATGCAGATTTGGGGTTTGATCTCTCCATGTTGGCTTTAGCTTCCATGAACCAAATATGCATGCATCCAAGTGAAGAGCAGAAGTGGAATTTAAACTCATGCTGGGAAAGAAGAAGGAATCAATGTTTGGAGATTTGTAACTATCTTTTAGTGCTTTATCTGTTGCAACATCAGCAGCATTTTCCAATGGGAAATCAAATCCCACATGCTTCCCTTCCACCAAACTTTCTGATTAAATCTCCCTCTCATCCACACACTTTTGATTGCCATTCTCCACTAAACTCCTCTCCCCTTCTCCCTATTAACTAATAAAATCTCTAACTTCAAATCAGATCTTGATTTGGCCTTTAATTAAGTCATTAATTTAAGTGCTTAATCTACTAATTGTTGTCACCTTACACTATCACTTCAGTTAGTTGCTTGGTGATTACATATGATTTCAGCACTTTAATTAGGCGATTAACCCACACATACTGACGATGATCTGAGAAATGTGTGTTGTTTACTTTTCTTTTTTGAGAAGAAAAATGAGAGCATATGGTCCAACGTTCTCTAGCCATTTGAAAACAAAAGGGTTCCAAGGTGTTGAAGACTCTCACATGCGGCTGAGTATAACTTAAGTAATTATAGTTTTCGAGATTCGAACTTCGATACGTGAAAAGTGTGGTAGACTCTCGATACGAGTCGTGATTTCAACGAAAATATTCGATATCAGAAGGGCTAAGATTAAATCGAGACTATTGAGATAAAAGTGCAACTCGAACGGTTTAATTAACCAACACGTTCACAATTTCTCCAATCAAGAGGCCAAGGCTCTGCCTATCCGTGATACTAGCCTTTAAATGTTTGATCTTAACTCCGTTCCTAATAACGAAGAGGGTGATAGTGGAAGGAACTCAGTGAGTCAAGTAACTCGATCGGCACTCGAATTCAGGTATGTAACTATGTATCAGACAATAGTGATGTTTCCTGGTTCGGGTCACATTCTGACGTAATAATAAAACCGAGTTTTGAAATAAAGGGGTGAACAAAAAGCTATAAAAGGGCGACCGAACAGAAGGTTGTTGGGACGACAGTTTTCAAGCATTTGTAATATCTTGTTGAAGCCGTTATCCAACCAGCAGTGGCAGTACATGAAAATTAATTGGCAGAGGATGGATTTGGTCACATCACAAGTTAAGACGAACGTCAAACAGTTTAGTTAGGTGCTGATTCGAAAACTAACCTAACTAAATTGCTTTCCTTTACATTGAAGTTTCTCTAACACATTTCACATCATTATTTTATTTAATTTCTCCTTAAACATCACCTACTAATTATAGATTTATCCCTTTGCAATTATAAATTGATAAAGAAAAAAATTAATTCTCTCTCTCTCTAATAAATGTTCGAAGTTTAAATACTGACGTTATGAATGAAAGAAAGTTAAATCAAAGAAGCATCTAGTATTAGCTTACTCTGACATTAATTATGGGCGGAGCTAGAAATTATACGAAGAACTTTTTTAAATGGAAAAATTAATTTTTATTTTTTTATTGTTAGATATTTTTTTTAAACATGAGGTTAATTTCTTTTTTGAAACGTGTGAAAACATTTCTAAAAAGGTGTCATTTTTTCTTTTATACTATATATTATATAGTTTATATAGATAAAAATTAAAAAAATTAGAATTTAGAGCGTCAATTGACACCCTTAATATATATCGGCTCCACGAGTTACACTAACTCACAAATTATACTAACATTTGCTAAAAGTCTTGGATCAAAATAAAATTTCTTATTAAACCGATTTATGTTATTTTCAACTTTGTTCTTCAAAGTTGAAGAAATTTGTTTAATTATTTTGATATTAATCTTTTAGAAGTATAATCCAAATAAAAATAATATAATTCAATTTGAACAAAATGGCCATATGGCACGCAGGAGATATTTGTATTATGGGTAAAGTACACAAATGATCCCTCGACTATAGGGTGTTGTTTTGTTAAGTCCCCTCATTTTCAAAAGTTAAAAAATGGTCCTCCGATGATAGGGTGTTGCTTTGTTGAGTCCTTCGACTATTAAAAGTTATAAAATGATCACCCGACTATTCATCATGTTCCAAATTCATCATTTGTCGTTAAATTTTTTAAGATAGTATGAGTTGGATGTTAACCAATTGTCTGAGATATAATAGTCATTTAAGATTATGTGATTAAAATTAATCATATCTCAGACAGTAGATTAACATCCATCTCAGATTGTCGTCACTTTTGATAGTCGAGACTCAATTAAACAACACCTATAGTAAGACCATTTTACCCTTGTATTATTTGCCTGCACAAATCCTTTTTTTTTCTTTCACATTAATGGTGTTTACGGTTTACCACCAAAGAAACTGCTTAACTTCTGGGAATTGGTTATCCCGCCTGCTTTGGAACCCATCACAAAACAATGGATTTAATATTTTATTATTATAATCAAATATGACAAGTATAATCTTCAAATTAACGGTTGGGATCGAATATTTTTTTAATCTAATGGCTGGAATTCACTGGAAAACTCTATTAGAATTCTCCTCCTTCGCTGTTCAGTCAACCCCTTTCTTCAAATTCGTTTTCAAGATATAGAGAAGGAGAGAGGCCGGAGATTTAGGTTTTCGATATCAACGATGGCGGCAGCTCATATTGATGTAGTAGACACAGCAGTAACCGACGAAACGACGTCGAATTCCCTAGTAAAGAACACTCGTTGCTGCTGTTTCCCTTGCTTCAGCTCCCCGTACTCCCCCGTCGGCACAGCCTTTTGGCAGCGGATAAGCAGTACGTCGTCCCAGTTCCAGTCCGGTACTGGATTATTGACTCGAATCGTTTCGGCGGTCCAGAAGGTCCGGGAATGGTCCGAGATCGTCGCCGGTCCCCGGTGGAAGACTTTCATAAGGAGATTCAACCGGAATAAAAGCGGTAGGCACGGACAATTCCGTTACGATCCTTTGAGTTACGCTTTGAATTTCGATCAAGGCCCGATCAGTGATTCGGAAGACGCCGATTACGAGTACGGAGGGTTTCGGGCTTTCTCGGTCCGGTACGCTTCGGTTTCCCCCGGTTCGGAGACAACGGCCTTGGCTTACCGGTCTCAAACCGGATGAATCATGAGAGTGAACCGGACTTTCTCTATTGATGACGTCATTATGGCTCGGCTTATTTATATATGATTGCACTAGTGTAGGGTTTTTATGAGGATGAGGTGTGTGGGATTAAGATAAGTACAAGACGTGATTTTGTTTGTATTTGCTTCATTTTGTCATTTTGTAAATACAAATCCATTCCTTATTTATCTAATTCTATTAAAAATGAAATAATGCACTACAAAAAATTATATTATAATCAATATTCGTAAAAAGAATATAATAAATATATTTATGATTAAAAATAATTATTATAATACATAAATAAATCAACTAATAATATGTAATCTGAATATATTTGTATTTTAATTAAAATAACCTTAAAAGGTCTAAATAAAATAATATTTTGATAAAAAAGACTTGAAAGATTCGAGATTACATTTACATCATCATTAGACTTGAAGTCTCACGTAGTATAATCTTATTGGTTAAAAGTTTTTTTTTTTAAAAACAGAGTTAGTACTTAGAGTGATTGAAGGATAAAACATGGCGTTTCTCTCAAAATATCATCTTAATCTTATATTTTTTTTTGTCAGGCATCGTTCAGATTATATTTTTTGATCTAACACCCTTTGCAGGAAGATACGCGTCCTGCACCGTGCTTTACGCCATGTGGTCGAAGCGCGCCTTACCAAATGTGTAAAAATCTCGAGTGTTAAATTTGTAAATATTTTTAAACGGATTCCAAATACATCATTAATTTATATTATAATGACATTTGTGTAAAAACGTCAGCATTTTGAATGTGCAGACACCCCACACCGCTCGATTTCAGGTTGTGAATTGGCTAGGGTTTTAATGAAGTGGGCAGTGTGTGTAGTAGTTGAGTTTATTAGTATTTTAGTGTCACAAATTTATTTTTTATAATAATAAATTTTTTATAATTTTAAAAATTATAAATTTCATATATTTTGAATTTTTTTAAAATTAATTGTTTAAAAATATAAAAAAATATTAAAATAAACTTTTAATTACAATTAAGGAATTAAATGAATTATTATTCATTAATTTTTATTTTTTAACAACAGTTAATAATATTTATTCATTTTAATAAAATTATTTTGATTTTTGTATTAAAATTACACAATACGTATAATTAGTATAGAAAAACTTTGAGGGTAAGTATTTTAAAATATGAATATTTTATAAATTTTATAACTAATATTTCTTTTACAAAATGATGATGATGATGATAATAATAAATATTTTATAATTTTAAAAATTATAAATTTTATATATTTTTGAAAAAAATATTACCTTTTAAAATTAATTGTTTAAAAATATAAAAAAATATTAAAATAAACTTTTAATTACAATTGAGATATCAAATGAATTATTATTCATTAATTTTTAATTTTTAACAACAGATAATAATGTTTATTCATTTTTAATAAAATTATTTAAATTTTTGCATTAAAATTACACAATACATATAATCTAGTATATAAAAACTTTGAAGACAAGTATTTTACAATATGAATAATTTTATAAAAGTTTTATAATTAATATTCTTTTACAAAATGAGATGATGATGATAAATATTTATAATTTAAAAACTTATAAATTTCATATATTTTAAAAAAAATTATTGCCTTTTAAAATTAATTGTTTAAGAATATAAAAAATATTAAAATAAACTTTTAATTACAATTGAGGAATCAAATGAATTATTATTTAATATTTTTTTTAAATATATGAAATTTATAATTTTTAAAATTATAAAAAATTATTATTATACAAAATAAACTTGTGACACTAAAATACTAATAAACTCAACCACTATACACACTGTCCACTTCATAACTTGTGACAAGATCCCATCCAGTTCACAACTTAGAAACCGTCCAGTGTGTTGTGTACAATTCAAAAATGCCGACGTTTTTACACAAATGTCACCATAATAGAAATTAATGACGTATTTGACACCCGTTTAAAAATATTTACAAAACTAACACCCGGATATTTTACACATTTGCTCCTTCGACCACGTTACGTAAAGCGCGGTACAGAGGGCGGCGCCTTCCTGCAAAGGGTGTTAGATCAAAAAATATAGTATGAACGATGTTTGACAGGGAAATATATAGGGTTATGGTGATTTAGGGAAATACGCCATAAAACATACCAACTCATTAAAGTCAAACATGTTTTAGAGGACAAATAATACTTTAAATAAAAAATTTAACAACAAGTAATATGAAATATATGGTTTTAGATATTAATTATGTTGTATTTATTAGATATATTTGTTTTTTACTCTACCATTTCAGCTGTTCAATAAAGTCAAACACGCATGAAATTATTTTGTTAATTCCCTTGACTATTAAAAATTATAAAATGATCGTCTGATTATTCTCTATGTTCCAAATTCATCATCATTTACCGTTAAATTTTTGACGACAATTTGAATTGTTGTTAATCTGCTGACTAAAATATGATCTCAATAATCTCAAACGACTACCATAACTAATCAACATATTAACGTCCAACTCAAACAACCGTTAATCTTTAACAGAAAAAAAAGACGAGTTTATAACATAACAAATAGTCTAATGATCATTTTATAACTTTTAATAGTCGAGAGACTCAACAAAACAACTCCCAATAGTTAGGAGACCATCTTGTAACTTTTAATAATTAAGAAACTTAACAAAATAATAACTTGCAGTTGGAGGACCATTTGTTAACTTTTCCCTTTTTTTCCAATTCTTTTACGTCAGTTTTACCATTCAAGTTTAAGATGTAAAGAATCAAAAGGAGAAACCCGAAAGTCTATTCGAACCGTATCCGAACTGAAACCATTCTCAAATATCAAAACTCCGTAACAAAATAAGGCAATCAATTCATATCATGTGACACGCTTGATCGTAGCATAAGCTGCAACACAAAAGCCTTACTAGTCTTTCTTTCATAGAAACAGAAATGGAAAAAGCACCTATAGTCCTCACATTGGTTAATTTCCACGACGGCCTATTTGCTCCGACAAAAGCACCGTCAAAGGGACGATGAACCCGAATAGGAGATATGCCGGCAGTCAATCCTCTGAACAACATTCTCTTCCTTTTTTTAGGGTTATAATTGTTTAACTTGCTTGAAAGTCGAGGAAAAGATGCAATTTCTGCGACAGCACCTCGCGAGTTCCGAATGGAGGTTTGCCGCTATCGATCCAATCCTTCTCGAGAAGGCCTGCTTTGGCACTAGCCAGCATCTCATGGTGGAAAGCAGAGACGATACAGTAAATTGAAGTCCTTAAAACATCAGCCATGGCGTATGCTTTTGCATATAGTGGGTCATCTCTCCTTTTTCCAGCTCTAACATCTCTTCTTCCGGCACTGAACGCAGCCGATTTAGTCCGAATGCTCCCATCAAATTATGAGATGGTTGCAAGCTTTTTTTCTTCCCCATCAATGTTTCGACGGCAAGCAAAGAAGCTATGAGCGTTGATATGACAGCAGCATTGCTACCTGAGAGTTGAGCAACTCCGAATCTGTCTTCTTTTCGTGAGAGTGCAGTCAAGGAAGCAACTGCTCGAGCAGACCATGTGTATACCTGTAAAAAAGCAACACCAAACAATTATTAAATTTGGCTTGTTCGGTTACAATACAAATTAAACGATCTACATTGCTCAAATCCCCCAGAGAAAAGCTGAAAAAGAACCTCGGATTAACCTCAAAAAACAATGCCCCACTGCCTTCAATGTTTCTTGATATGTAATAAGGTTATATATACTAAGCAAGCAACCACAGAAACAAGAACACCAAGTGAACCCAACAAAAGCATTTAAGCAAAAGCGAAGTCGTGTTGGAAACATACCTAGTAACCCGGAGATGGAAGTGAGAGTTGGATACGGAAATTTGTCCAACACGAACATGTTAAAACATTTTCAAGTTTTCTATATGATTTGGAAGATCATACTTGGTACGCATACCCAAATATGTATAACACATAAGGTGAATGACTTGGAGATCAATTATTATATTATATTATATTACATAACATTATATAATTAATTTTTCCCTTTCTTTCCTTCTTTTCAGCCATCAAAGCTTTGTGTCACTCCTCTTTATAATCGTAAATGAACAAAGTACATAAATAAACCAAGTATTCAAATCCATAATATCTGGCAATTAACTTCAAGTTACATGTTTGGACTCTATCATTGTGGTGTAACAGTTCTACACGAAGAACATGTTGAATGAATGCATGCCCAATTCTAGAAAACGGTGTCATACCTGGAAGTTTCATTAGTTCCGAGCATTTTGAATTCTGGCGGTCAGTTGATGACTGCAACTGATCAGATATTGAGTACGTTCTATCATCTGATGAACCTTCAAGACCTTGGACCAACTTTGATGCAAGTTGCTCCAAAGGTCTCAAGCAGCTGCAACTCTTTTGTAAGTCTCACCAGTTTCTTCGAAGAAGGCAGCTCGACGCCAGTAGTCAACATTGTTCTCACAAACCATACAAAGATCAAGGTATGCAAGATATTTCAGAAGGAAGCTGGAGAGGTCTCCTCTAATGCAGCTAGGAGAGGCTCACTTGGATTAGTTTCTGCTGCTGCAGACCCTTTTGGTGGTGCAAATATGAACCTTTTTGTATGTAGCACCTATAATAGAATATAAGTGAAAAGAAATATCTATATTAAAAAACATCAGTAACTGTGAAACATTAATCAAAGAAGATATTGGTTTAGCATTTGGAGCGCAGACAAGAAAGTGGAAACACCATGCCAAAAGCACTAGCAGACGAGATTGGACAACTACAAATAGTGGAGAGCAATACAGCTATGGTGATTTAATCCTCTTTCGAATACGACAGCTAAATCACGAGTTCTTCATTCACAATGAAGCTCCATAGGTCAAATAGAATATGTCTAGGCATTAGAAAGGTGATTTACTTAGCCTAAAAGCGTAAGAAATATCAGTAACTTGAACTTTAATCACACAATGTGTGAGAAATGATGATAATTTTGATATGTTTCGAACCAACCTGATGCAAATGGTGAGTCAACTCCCAACAAAGAAACATACAAAAGCGGCAGCATAACCGATTATATGTTGAGCAAAAAAGTTCCCGAGCTCGAGATC